TGTTGCGTGAGCACCCACCAGAGCTGCCAGCTCGCGTTCAGAAATGCCCTTTCTCTTGAATAAAGCAATCAGGTTGTCAGGGTTGTCATGAGTGTCTGGCAAAAGGCCCTTTGGATTGGCCTTGGTGGCATCCAATCGTCCGACAAAGGTACGCACACGCGGTCCTTTCGGACAGGAGACGGTGGCGTGGTTATGGGCGTATTGCACAAGATCGGCAGCTCCCACCTTGTACTTGTCTCGCACCCCGCGTAGCAGTGTGCGTACACTTTGAAGACCGTTGTTTTCGCGACGGTCATGCTCGCCAAAATCCATAATCAGCGATCCGTCGGCACCGCCATGGCTGGAGCTCTGGTCCCACGACCCTGCATCATGGAAACCCATGCGGACGGCTGCTCGAGCATTGTCGTTACACTGCTTATCTTTCCCAACAAAAAGCTTAGTTAGTTCTGCGGAAACATCGTACCCTAGTGTCTATCAGTCTGTAATGCACCAAATACATGCTTTGGTCAACTTACACACGCAGCATTTATCTTTACTCTGATCGCATTTGGAAGGTTTTGGTTTCTGATTGTTGTCGGTGGCAGGTTTGCTGCCACCAATGATGTCTTGGACAAGTTGCCCAATTTCGTTGAAGCTACCACCAAGCTCGACTTCAAGTATATCCAATAGAGCTTCCCGCTGTTGTAAGGGCCCTGCTGATGCGAAGAGGGAAAGCCCGAGAAGGGAAAACGTCAGAGCTGCCTTGAAAACCATGTGGACGGAAGAACAGCGTATAAAATATATAAATATAAAGATGGATGAATAAGGGAATGACAGTACAGACGAACGATCAAAGACGAGATCGGCGGGCTAGGGAACAGATACGAGACCACATGTAGGAGGGTCCCTTATATATCTCTCTGGTGTGTCAACGGGGGTGGAGTGCCATTGCTCAAAAGGCGTCATTATATCTAGTCAGGCTTAGCATGGCAGCAAAAACCAAAGGCGTTCTTGAAATGGCAAAAATAGTCACTAAATAGGAGTGATCCCTGCATACGCGAGACAAGTCACTGCCTCCGGCAAAAGGATATCGGGGAAAGGCAGCCAACAAACTCTCAGCTGCAAGCCTTGCAGGTGTGCAAGTCCGAGCGCAGCCTCGATATCTTTGGACGGATTCGGATCCGGACCGCTGACACGGGGCGATAGCGGGTGAAGGAGCATTTAGAACCAGAAGCGGTATGCCAAGCCTGTCGAATCATAGCCTGACGACATGGAGAGCATTGAAATGTTGAGCATGGCAAAGATAATAGTACTTGAATGCATTGCCAGAACAGCAGTGTGGTTTTTACTGTGCAATGCATACATTAGTATGTACAGGTGCTATCAATCGAACGCGAGCATGAACAACTGATCATTGCTAGGTTTGCTAGCGGCTAGCTGGACGGTTCTTGGCTCCCTGATACGCAGTGTAGATCTACAGTGTCGAGGGTCCAGAGCTTGCAGTAGTTTCGTGTGTTGTCGCGACATTGCATGGTGGCGTTCATCAGCATGCCTGAACTGGCAGCGAGGCAGGCATGTTGTTTGGCATGTCAGAACCCAATACAGTCGGCATGCAGATCTGAGACCTGAGGCAGAAGGCCGACAAACAAAGCCTGGTGCCAAACGCGCACGGACGGGGGTATGACCTGGAGATGGGAATCAAGCAACTGATTTGTTCTTCGGACATGGTAATGCTGAAGACATGGACACATGTCCTGAATGCCATCAAGAGCTAGCTAGCCCCGCGGGGTTCGGTAGCTTGAGTAATTTAGCTGTGTGCTGCGCGACAGTCTTGCTTGAGACGCGCGCGCATGGTGTTGATTGCATTCTGCCAACATGGAAACGAAGTCGGGCTGTAGATTGGTGGAGAGCCGGAGCGGTATAGATAGGAGGAATGAACACATGCTTTGCCTCGGCCCCCTTTCATGCCAAATCGGAACTTTTCTTTGGCGAGGGCCTAGGATCGGCGGCCAGCATTTCTGGTCGCTCTGCCTAGCGATGGTCCGATGGGTGTATGCAGTCACGTGAAAGTCACGTGAAAGTCGCCAGCGGAATCCCAAAAGGGCAAGAGGGATGGACAAGACATGAAGCTTGGCGTGCAATGCGGTGGCATACGACCACAGCCGATAGGGTGGTAGATGGGCAGTGAGTGTGAGCAGACGTCTTTGGGCGTCCCATTGTGTACGGAATAGTGCTCAGCGTCTTAGAGACGCTGTCTGGTGCAAATTGCCAAGAGTCAGCCCGGCAGAGCGGAGGCGGGGTAAGAGAGCATGGCTGATGCGTACAAATCGAGACGACGCAGCCAATAGTAACGAAGGGACGGAAGGACGATGCTGATACTGCTGGCACTGCTGCTGCTTATCGCAAGCAATGGAGAAGTTGAAGATGAGGAGAGCTGAGATGTGTATAGACCCAATAAGGACAAAAAAAGACGGTGGACGTTGTTGGTGATTGACCGGCTGATGGTGTTTGGGTGTGTGGCTGGTGCGAATACGAAAGGGCGCGGGGTGGTTCAGGGGAGGCACGGGAGGTTTGATATTTCTTGGCGGGCGTGGGCAAACCGGAGGCGAATTCCCGGCCACTTGCACCCCAATGTAGCGACTCGATGCCAACTTTCGTACATTTTTATTTCGTCTCCACGCTCTTGACCCCATAACGCGCCTTTTTTTTGCTCAAAGCGAGATCCCCTCGCCCCACTGTTCCATCGCCACAATTTCATCCGCGTCATGCACCCTGATGTCGCCCCCAGACTCGTCTGGCAGCAGCCTTCCCAAGCGGCGCCGCACAGTCGAAGGCTCCTGCTGGCCCTGCAAGCAGAGGCGCGTCAAGTGTGACCTCCAGAAGCCATGCTGCCGCCGCTGCATCAATTTAGACACCCAGGACTGCAGCTATGACAAAGTCTTGCTGCGCTGGAAGAAGCGCCCTGCCAAGCCAGTGCCCCAACCCCAGCCGCGCCTATCTCAAGAGCACTCGCTCAACGGCCTCGACTTGGCTCTGAATGAGCGCAAGGCCATTGACTACTTCCGAGCCCGCCTATGGCCTCTCTTCTCCACTCTTCCCGAGCCCTGTCCCCCTCCAGTTGCACTCGCCTTGCGCTCCCAGCCAGTCCTCCAGGCCCTATGTGTCTTTGCCGAAGAGCACCGTGCCCTGCAAACAAAAGAATCTCCCAAGCCCAGTCTAAGCAAAAGGCGTTTGCAATGCCTGGCCGCCATCCGTACCCATCTGGGTGGCGGGGTCCCCGAAGGCAGTGCTCTCTCTGCCCTCCTCGTCGCAGTTCTCCTGCTCTACTTCCTCGAAGGCTATGTCAACTGCACAAACGACGGTGCATCCACCCACTGCCACTTTGCAGGACTATTGGCCATCATCAACGCCCTTGGCGGCTTCCAAGCAGCATGGACCTCATCTGACCGGGTTACTAGGATGCTTTTGTCCGAAATGGCATCTACCGACCTAACCGATGCTTTGCTGCAGGATAGGCCCCCTTCATTCCCAGCGACAATCTGGAACTTTATGGAGCCCGGTTCTGTCTGGTGGGAGACTGTCCCCGGAAGCAGGACTCTTGGCTCCGTTTTCTCCACCATGGCCGAGATGAGCTTCTATCGCCACCAAGTTCAAAATGGAGCAGACTTTTGTATGGACCAAGCACAGGCCTTTGAGCGCGCTCTCCAACCTACATATCCAACTCTCGACAACCCCACCGAATCTCAGACCAGCGAGCATGCTACCAAAACATTAGCCCAACTCACAGTCGAAGCATCACTTTCACTGATAATTGCATTTCAACATGCAGCACTCATCTATCTCTACAGTGCCATCCACAACATCCCGGCCAAGCACTTCCTTGTGCAGCAGCATGTAAAGGCTTGCTTGGACTGTATACAGGGTATGGACCCGAGAACCAAGGCCCAAAACTGTGCTCTTTTTCCCCTATATGTAGCTGGCGCTCATTCGCTTGATGAGTCACAAAGGACGTATATTTCTGAGACACTGGATACAATTCATAAAAATCTGCAATTCGAGTCTGTTGTGTCCGTGTCAGCAACTCTGGACATGCTGTGGCAGTCATCCCATAGCCCTACTGGTTGGGTTGATAGTTTCAAGGACACGGCAACATCTACTTTAGTTATATGACCACCTTTCTTTATTACTTGATACCATGTATTTAGGACCCGTCTTTTAGTCGTATAGCTTTAAGAAATGACATGTATGCCCGTTCAAGATTCTGGTTGGTAGTCGAGTGATACATGGTATGTACGTCTGTGATATCTTTTCCTATCAGAAAAACCAGTCGTAGTATTCAAATACTAAAAACTGAGGAAATTTATCTTTCCGAACGGCACGCAGAATGTCATTACGTATACCCTATGACGTAATCTGTCACATAGTAGCTCCGGCGCAATGTCCCACGAATAAGGTGAGGTTGCGCTTATTGTGTACATCACACCGCTGATCAATAAGCACTATAAGAAATTGCAGATTCGAAAGGAAAAGCTCAGATACGAAATGATCAACTAGAAACAATGCTACATGTAGTCTCTTGTGTACGCATTCCAGGAGTGAGGTCTGGTCGTCTAAAAGAAGAAACATTTGCGAGTAGTAAAAGCCATGTTGGGAACTTACCCGACCACATTCAAGATACCAAAATTGGGACTGCATTTAACGAACAAAAAGGCTCATCGAAATCACACCCCGGACGTTAAGATGTTTATTGAGTTAGGCTAAAATGAGACGCACCGGATTTACATGGGTTGATATTCTTCTACAAATCAGACTTCTTGAAGGTCATGTCATTTTTGTTTTGAATGCTGGTGATGTTTCTCCTAAGGTTGAAAATTGACTAAGAGGAGATTACACAGCATGGTTGTATAGCTGTAGGCATGTGCGATACAACTGCCAGTATTTCGTATGCATGGCGAGGGAGCCACCAGAATTGACAGTGCGATACGAATAAAAAACCACCATACAGTAGCACAGCCGCCTTCCTAGCTCCACCTTCCACAATGAGTCCTATCAATCATCGCCTGCGGGCAGCTAACCTCTCTGAAATCTACACTGGGATTATCCGCATTCTTGAACCAGTCAAACCTCCAGAAGCAGCCGTCGCGGAAAGCTCCTGCAGGGAGATTATTGCAGTGGTTTCTCTCCCAATAACCCCCGAATTGATTGCCCATCCAGGCGCCGTTGAATTGTTTCGCGCAGCCTTCAGGGAAGATGCCTACTCCACTGCCGGGAATGGCAAGATCGAATTGGTTCTCCTTCAAGTCGCTGCCCGTGTTGGTTACCTGCACTACCATTTTCTTTCCATTGACGGGACCCGAGGTGAACGTAAGTCTGCAACTACATCAGCTTCTAGCCCGGCTAACCAGGTTCTTCCTTGACCCACTCGTAGCAAGCACAGCACCAGTTCCCCTCATTCCTTCCCTTCAGATTGGCCGCCGCAAACCCGTAAGCCAAATTATCATTCACAGCCCATGGCCCGTTATTGCTGCACGTGTAGGCTTCGCCATTTCCACATGCAGAAGCCGCATTTGCATCTAGAGGAGTCGGCCACAGGTCTTGTTTGTTACAGGTACGAACGGGCTCCGACACTTGTGCTTTCTTGGGCCAAGCGCACGACGGTTTGCAACAGTCCCAGTACCGAGTCGTTACACCTGGTTCACCGGAGACATGGTGGAGAAGAAGGGATAAAGCGAGGGATAAGTGTGCTAGAGTGAAAAACATTGTAGAAGACAGTATTGGTGAGTCAAGGGGATTTGAGGTAATGTTTTGTGCGTTCCAGTCGATTGAATTTTGGATTTCTTATAGCAACTGAGAGGACTTCGAGAAATACGCGTGCGCATTCAGCTGAATGTTGCATCGTGACATATGGGGCTCGATATAGTGCTACATAAGCACTAAGAAGGTTCTTTCAGCTCGACCCAAGATCACGGGTATCCATCCATGCTTTTCATACTCCATCTCCACAAGAAACGAGAAGTCCTTTCAAGGTCATTAATTTCCAAATGGGGAAGCTCGTTGTTGACGGTTGCACTCTGAGTTGCACCAAGATCGTAAAGATTGTACCGCCCCACTCTTCTCTCACTGACTAGACTATGGTGGTGCTCAAGCTGAACTGTAGATTGCGTTAGTGGTATACAAATTAATTACTTTCAATAATACTGTAGTATTTATCTCCTGAGCATAGCGCGTCTCAGGTGAGGCTGTTGTGCACTAGGATTGCTTCCTGTAGCAATCCTTCCAATGCAAAAAGCTTTGCAAGGGGTCATGGATTAGGAATCAGTAATGGTATGCGACTGTTATTAGTGTAATTTCTAGATGCTTTCCATTACAACCGTTGCTGAAATCGATGGCGGATGGGTGCACTTTGAGAAAAGTCCATAGAAATTTCATAGCAGACTCGACGACGATAATTTTGTTGGATGAAAGAGTGACATCGATGCGATAGCCTTAGGTAACTACGTGAGTCTTGGTAGCCGTCCGTCAAGATCTGTATCATCGGCTAGATCAACGCCACTGACGGACTAAGACGAGAAAGTGGAAAAAAAGATACAGCCAGCATTTTCCGAAACGAGCAACTGCCGAGCCCCTCGTAAATACACAAAGACAATCCCGCGAGTTAGCTCCAACCAGCGTCGCCAACCGCCCAGATTCCATCCCCGTAGCGACAAGAAATTTCCATACACCGCAAGTTGAACTATCAACCTCGGCAATCTGGTAACGAAGTGTAACTTGTTGTTTGCTCCTCTCGATAGTCAATTTTAATAGCCCCATACTACTTTCTATGGCAAACTGCATTTGAATTCGAGGGCTTTGAAGTCGTCTATAGGATCTGGCCCACGGGAAATATTTCACTGTTACTTGGGTTGTCCGTTCTCATCTGGTTGTTCGACTATCATCATAGATTCAGGTCGCCGTCATAAACAACTTGTAATGACAAAAGTTTTTGTTCCAATTTTGTGTGTTGGTTCAGGCGTCGGCTTCAGCATAGGTTCGGTTTAGCATCGGCGAGGTTGATCCTGCGTAAGAAAGCTGAAGAACTCAGCCTCATCATTCTCAACGCCGACAGCATTAGCGCATGACGCGGCTCAGCTCCGTGACCTGCCAGATAATGTAACGTCCGAAAACAACAGCAGATGAGAGTAGATCTGACGCTCCGGGCAGTTGTGTCTCGAGGTGAGTAAGGGTGTGAATTGAGTGGTTAGCATCACTGCGTGACCAAAGATGATCAATACCGATGGTATTTTCAGAATGACCACCTCGTACTCAGTTCTACGAATGTGAACTCCTTTTCGAAGGTACGTGTACACAAGAAGCTCGAATTCACGTCTAATATCTAGCGTATGATGGGTGATGTCAACGCTCACGTGCAGTCGCGTCGCGACGTGTGGCAGCGCGTTGTAGTGGCGTCTATTAACTCCGGCCGCTCATATTTATCCCCGCAAAACAGCCGCCACCCAGCAAGCATTCCTCCAAGTACTTGCACCTCTTATGCTTGTAGCCTCTGCCACACCACTATACACAACCTACGATTACGGAATACGGATACGATCTTGATCGCCATGGTCCTCGGTTTCGAACGCATCAATGAGCGCACTCAACGACCCAACGCCCACATTAACTTCATACGCACGCTTCCGGGTCCAACATCCGCTACTGCCGAGAACATCCTGAACCGTGTCGCAGCCATATGCTATCCTTTCATGAAGTCACACATGATCCTAGTCCAGGCGCTCGAGGAGTTCCCGTATAACAACGAGTTTGTTGGTCGCAACTTCAATGCGGGCGAGGTCATACAGCTGGTGCTGAGGGATCGCAATGGAAGATGGCTACCCCAGAGAATGGTTGAAATGGTTATGGTGCATGAACTTGCCCACTGTAAGCAGATGAACCATTCGAAGGCCTTCTGGAAGGTGCGCGATGCATACGCGGTAGAATTAAGGGCACTCTGGGCGAGAGGCTACACTGGCCAAGGGTTATGGGGTAGGGGTAGGGAGCTTGACACTGGCGCAGTGCAGGCCAGCGAGACAGATCATGTAGATGTCCCTGAACATCTTTGTGGAGGTACTTATGCTCGGAAGGGCGGGAAGAGGAAGCGTGGCGCAAAGGAGAAATCGACATTAACGTATGCGGAAAGAAAGCAGCGGAGGATTCTCAAGAAATTTGGCGCTGGAGGGAAGGCTCTAGGCGCGGATGAAGACACCAAGGTGAAGCTGGAGAACGGAGTAGAGAAAAAGAGCAAACCGAGAGTCGCAGGAAGCGCGCGAGGCCGGGATTTAAGGGCAGCAGCGGCATTAGCACGTTTCGACACGACGAAGAAAGGCGAAGCCACAGTCAAAAAGGAAGAACCCATGTCGGACAGCGATACGGAGGATGAGTTCATCGAGGGTGACCAAGATGGTGCAGCAATCGACGTGGATGGCAAGAGCATGCTCGACGATAAAGGCCGTGCGCTCGTCAAGGTTTGCGAAGATGATGATGACGACAAAGATGGCGATGCAAAAAGGGAGTTGGTCGAGATACAAGGCTTTGCCGCCTCACGCAAAGGATCGAACCGGCTGCCGGTGTCGAACAATATCTCACACAACTCGCGACAATCAAAACAGACCACGAAGAGTGCTCCGTCGACCGTTAAAACCAAACCCCATACCACATCAGCACAAGGCACTGTATCATCAGGCATCTCATCTACAGAGCTCAATACACGCAACCCCGAACCGTCACGCCCCGCACCTGGCCAGCCCCGCAGTTCATCACCATCTGTCTCATTCGTGTGCCCCATCTGTTCTCTGGAGAACGATGCCGGAGCCCTTACATGCATGGCGTGTGCTCATGTGCTTCAGAAGGACCTTGTCGTAAATAGTTGGGCATGCAAGAGTTCAACCTGCAAAAGAAGCCAATACATCAACGCTGGAGATGCAGGCGTGTGCGGTGTTTGTGGATCGGCGAGACACAGGTGACGTCTTACAAAATGGCTGCTTGTTCTATCAAGTGAGAACATACTGTTAGGATACTCGACATGATACCCCCGTTTCATAATGTCATAGTAATTTTAGGTGGCTGGTGCGAAAGTCGTGACTTCATTCTGTACAACTGTAAAACGCCAAAAACCCCCCATTCATAGCCTATACCGAGGACCCAAAAGACAAGCAAATGACAAACAACACCATGCAATGCCTAACAATACCCCCACCTATCTCTTCACACTGAGAAATACCCTCGAGACTGTGAGTCTCGGATTCTTCAAGGATACTGCAGGTTCTACCTTGCAATCCTCAACTGTGAACCCCCAATACTCTTCTTCGCACTAAGCGTCATACCCACACCCACTCCTCTTCTGCTATTCCTCCTCATGCCCTCCAATTTGGCCTTCAACTGTTCGTGAATTTTTCTATTTTGCGCCCAGTCGTCTGCAAACTTTTGCATCCGAAGCGCTGCAATGACTGCAAGAGCTGCTGATTTGAGCGTAGGCCGACGGTCGTGGATGGTAATGTCAGGTGTAATGCCCATCTGTGAGATGAGATTCAGATCTTGCTGGTTGCTGTACAAGCATTAGCCATACGTGTCTAGCGTAAATAACCGAAAACAAGACAAACGTACCATTCATTATAAGTCGAGATTTGCATCAGGAAAAATCTCTTCTGGTAACCGAGAGCCTCACGGAACGCCTCTGCGCGTGAGCATCGTGCTCGGAGGAACTGAATCTGCTTGGCAAGACCGTTGATCTCCTTGATATGCCGTTTTGTAAGAGCTTCGGCTTGCTCGTCCAGGTCGACCGCGTCTTGGTTGGCCTTTTGCTGTATCGCTCTTGACGACGCTTGAAGCAGACGCAGCTGTGATTCCTTTTCACGGAGCTGTGACTGCAAGTCCTTCAATTGGCGCTCAAGCGATGACTGTTGGTCGCGTGCAGTCGACTTCGCTTCAGAAAGAAGCATGCGATGTTGAGCGTCCTTTTCGCGAATTCTCGATTCGAGGTCACGGATCCGGTCCTCGAGTTTGAGCTTTTGTTCGCGTTGAGCTGCTCGGGTCTCGGACTGCAATGCATTGCTCTGGCTCTCCTTTTCACGAAGCATCGACTCGAGCACAGCAATCTTCTCCTCGAGTGAGGCCTTCTCTTCGGCTACCTCATCGGCGTCATCTTGAAGAACAGCAATCTCTTCTTCATAGTCTTCCTTCTCGCGATTGGTGATATCTCTGAGCTCTTCGAGTGCCTCTAGACGCTCCTCTGCTAGCCGTTGGAGAGCTTCGACTTGACTCTTTTGCGAATCCATCTGTTCGCGAAGGCCTTCCAGTTCGTTGTCCCGTTTACGGACAATGTCTTGCATGACATCAATCTGTGTATCCGGCTCATCGGCATGGCTTCGTAGGGCGTCGAGCTCCGCTTCCCGATCAGATATCGTTCGTCTTGCGGTTTCCAACTCTCTCGTCCGGTCACCGAGGTCGCTCTTGAGCTGCTTAAGATCTTGAAGCATCGCCTCCTGTGATTCAACCTTTCGCTGCAGAGTGGTCATATCGCGGTCACGAGCTTGCAGTGTTGACTGAAGACTAGACAGGTCCCGGGAGATTGCGTCACGTTCCCGCGTGATTCTCTGGAGGGCTTCTATCTGTGTGTCTTTGCCTGACACGGCAGATCTGAGGTTGCGCATCTCGTTTTCGATGTCGTTGCGTTCTTGGCGAAGAGTTGCAACTAATGTGTCGCGGTCACTGTTCCCTCTCCGCAGCGCCTCCACTTGCTCCTCCTTAGTCGAGATTTTAGAAATCAGGCTGTCACGCTCACGACGAAGGGTAGTAAGCTCACGGGAGAGAGCATCGCGCTCTTGCCTCGCGTTGTTGAGTGCCTGTACTTGAGCATCCTTGCTGTTGAGATTTGCGCGGAGGCCAGTGAGTTCCTGGGTTGCGTCATCACGCTCTCTGCGTAATCTTTCCAATCCGTCCAAGTCGCGGTCCTTTTGACTGAGATCTCGACGCAACTGCTGAAGTTGCTGTTCATAGGTCGATGCGTCTTGCTGCAAACGAGTGATCTGCTGCATCGCATCTTGGTGCTTCTTGCGGAATTCTTCAAGTTCGTCAGCTCTGGACTCAGCCGCATCGACCCGAGATTGCAACAGCTCAATCTCAAGTCCCTTCTCACGCGCGACTTCCAATGCTTTCTGTCGAGCATCGCTTGCAGACTGTTGAGCTAGTTGTACTTGGTTGTCACCTTGGGATTCAGCAAGTTCCAATCGTTCATGCAAGGCGTCCATTTCTGCTTGCTGTTCGTTGTGAGCAGTCTGAAGACGCCTCTGCAACTCTCGTAGCTCGTTGTCCTTGTCGCGCTCCATCGAACGCAAGCGTTCTTCCACCATGGCGATTTCTCTTTGTTTTTGCTCATTGGCCTCATCGAGTTCCCGCTGTCTCTGTTCATCCGCTTCGTCCAGCTCGCGTTCCAACTCATCAAGGTTTCGCTCAAGCTCACGTATCTCTTGTTGCTTTCCATCAGTGGCAGACTGCAGTTTTGACTGTAGAGAGTTGATTTCAGTGTCCTTTTCGTGTTCTAGTGAGCGAAGTCGTTCCTCTAGGTCTTGAATCTTCTCCTTTTGTTCAGCCAGTTGGCGGTCTTTCTCTGCCTGGACTATATCCTTGGAATCCTGAACAGACCGCATCTCTTCTTCAAGTTCAGCGATACGCTGGGCTTGTTCCTTGAGTTGGCGATCTTTCTCTTCATCGCCGGACTGTGAAACCCTCGCTCTTTCTAGCTGATCTTCCAGATCTTTGATGTGCTCTTCGTTTTCGTCTAACATCTTATCGCGTCTTTCAACCTCTGCTTGTGCGTTCTCCAGGTCCGCATTGGCTCTCTCCAGCTCTTCTTCCGCGCTCCTTGCCTCTTCCAACTTCTCCTCCAGTCGCTCAATCTCAGCAGCGCGCTCATCGGCCAGTCGTCGGAGCTCGTCCATTTCTTCGCGCATGCCCTCGTCGGCGTGCCGCCGCTTGACTTTCTCTGCATACTCTCGAAGTTGCTGTTTGTAGTGGTCCAACTCCGTCTCGGCGGCTTTGAGGTCTTTTGAGTAGTTCTTGAGGTCGCGCGACATAGTAACCTTCTCGGACTTAAGGTTAATGTTCTCCTCCATGGCTTGACGGTTGAATTCGGGCCCCATCTTCTTCAGATTTTCTTCGAGGAAATGGATCTTAAGCTTCAGGCCGAAGTTTTCCTTGTCAATCTGTGCTAATCGCTGCATGTAATGTTAGCCGGTTTGCACTACAGGCTTATCATCAACATCTCAGGTGTCCGAATTCACTTACATCTTCCTGCTCTCTTAGGGTGAGTACATTGCCATTCCCGCCGTCCATCTCCCCCTCTGCCCTCCTTGGTATCGCCATGGGCGTGCTCATGGCGCTAGAGTTGAGATCGGGCAGCTGTGTGCGATCATCGACCGATTCGGCAAAAGAACTTGATTGCACGTCGAACATGCTTGCCTCGGGCAGCGGTGTGTTGCTGACCTGAAAGCCTGGCTTCATGGCAATGGGTGTCGCGATCTTCCCGTCGAAGAGGCCGTTGACCTGGCGTGTTCGATTCGCGGTTGCACTTTTTAACATAGGTGTGAACTCGTTTTTCGCGCTCAGGTTGCGTCGTGTAGTCAGTTGAGCCCGGGGCGTGCGGGCGCCACTCATTTGCTTGAAGAGGTTGTCGCGGTCTGTCGGGGCATGGAATGTCTCCTCCATGCTGAAAGAGGGCTCGTTGGTAGTGAAGCGCGTCATGTCGCCAACCTCTGTACGAGGCGTATCGAGTAGGTGCGCCATGGTTGGGTGATAGATATGTTGTCTACTGACGCATGAGTGAGAGGAATGGCAGGTACCTTGGCGCGCGCAAGTCAAGTAATTGTTGACTTTCTTTGGGCTGTCACTTGGGGATACTTTGGGTGGTGTTGTTTGTTTGGGACGCTCGGACGATGACAGGGATGCTGCCCCCGCCGCTAACCAAACCCGGCTGCATCCGCAACGCGCGTGGCGGCCAGTCACGTGTTCTGATTTTGCTGCCTGCACCAAAATCTCTATCCTAGCTGCCCTCAGAAACCGTTGCTGGGATTTGTGATTTTCTCCCTGCGGAAAACTCTCCGGATCGATACGCTCTCAAAACTCAACTTTTGTTTCCCACGAGAATCCGTGCTCAAGATACGACAAAACCAGTGCAAGGTCTCTGCAACATGGAAGGCCCGCAGGACGGCCTCAAGTGGTTTGGCGAGGGATTTGACGGCTTCCCCAAGAAACTACCTGACGACGTTGTGGAATATATCGTCTTCATCATAGACTCTACACTCTCCGACATCCAAATTAGAGAAAGATTGCAGGGATTCCAACGTGCATTGAATACGCTGGAAAAGAAATTTCTCAAGGAGTATATTTGGCAACGCGACTCGCTGAAACTTGAACTTGTCCGCGAAGAACAGAGATGGCTACTTCGTGGCCACACCAACTATGGGGATAGTATCGCGGACGAATGGCTGATCGTTTACCTTTTGCGTGAGCTAAGCAAAGAATTCAAGGATGCTTGGATACGCATATACGATAGTGATGGAGAGTTCCTACTCATCGAAGCTGCGAATGCGCTGCCCAAGTGGCTCACTCCAGAAGTTGCAGATAACAGGGTATGGATAAACAGTCATAGGCTGCTAATCATTCCGTTGGGCAAGGAGGAGGACCCTGCACCACTCTCTCAGAATCAAGCTCTACAAATAATACGTGATACTCCAGGGCGACCTCAACAGTACATCAAGGTCGAAAAAGAGGCATTCCATCGATTGAATAGCTATCCCGCTGCTATCGCAGATAATCAGCATCATGCAACGGTGCCCCTTCCAAGAAAAGTTGCCCATATCCTACATATCAATCCATCGTACATTGCCCCAGTAGTAGAGGCATTCTACCTCCGCGACCCAATCTCAATGCGTCTGCTACAGCCCGAAAAATCAAAAATAGATCTCGAATTCCCACCGGAAGACTTTGTCGACGTTAGTGTGCGTTTTACGAAAGTACTATATGCGCAGCTACTCGGACAGCATTGGGAGCCGCCTGCACCATGGGACTCTGCGCTGGAACAGCTCGTAAAATCAGGAAAAGCTACCGAGAAAGTCGAGATTGGTCTCAAGATCACAGCTGGCATGCAGATGTTAGTTTCGCATTCCATTTATGCCTCACACAAATTTACACGTGAGATTAATATACTGCTCGAGGACCTCGAAAATGGCGATGAAGCTCTTCCCACAAATGCTGAGATTGCTAGCTGGCCAAAATGCGACGATGATGAAGGCTGGCTTAATATCGATTTTGCCGAATTCGAGAGGGAATTAGAGGGTAAGGGTAGCAAAGGAAATGAAGGCTTTGGGGACAAGAATGCACAAGAGAATCTAAAAAAGATGGTCGCCCGATTCAATGATTTCCTGGCAGATAATGAAGCGGGCGTGGAAGGTGCGGACGGAGGATTTGACCCTATGGACGAGGACAATGATTCAGATGCAGGAGATAGAGGGTGGGATGACCCTGAAGACAGTGACTCTACTGTGGAAAGTAAGACCGGAAACAAATCAAAGGCAAAGGCCAGTCACGAAAAAGAACAACAAGGGGAAGAAGAGAAGGTTACGGATGACGAGGAAGATGCTGCAGCAGATGCCGAGTATGCGGAGTACGAGAAGTATTACGAGAAGTTCATGACGCTCTCTGCAGCGGAAAAAGCTATTCTTACAGATGAAGCGCGTGCTTTAGCACGTGAACAGGATGCTGAGAAAGAAGAAGACGAGGAAATTCGAAAGCTGAGCGAAATGATGGAAGCTGAATTGTTCAGCCACGGCGCTTTGAATATCAACCCAAAGTCCGACCAGAAGGCAATATCGGGAGTTGCTTTGCCTGGAAAAGACAAAGGCAAAGGCAAAGCGAAACTCTCGGAGATTGAGAGTGCGGAAGAGGACGATGAGGACGACGACGGTGATGATGATTTGCTCGATGAAGACTACAATCTTGCAGATAACATGCTGAAGGCGTTCAAAGGCCAAGCTGGCATGGCCGGCCCGGCTGGAAATATGATGAGAGCTATGGGCGTACAATTTCCGCAGGACGCTGACGATGAAGTCAAGAGTGGACCGTCCAAGCACTAGGAAGTGTCTGGGATTTGAGGTCTTTTGGTGGCTTTGAGCTGAGATATCTAACATTCTCCGTCGCTTTGGCAAAACCTTTGGATGCATCATACTCGAAACTGTGTCTGCCCCTTGTTAATCTGTTGTCTTGGGCCTGGATGCGAATATAGTGGATGTCGGGCCCATGGTCTCTCATCTTGGCGATCCTCATACAATTGCTTTCCAACCCCTAAACTCTTTCGTCCATGAAATCTGTCATTCTGAGTCTTAGCTTTTTGTAATTTGCTTCTTTGACTCTTCTATTTCAGAGTGGATGTAGCGCACGATTCTTGAGAAGACCTTTAAGGGACGTGAAAACGCTGCTCACGCGCCTGAATAGATACAGGTCGATCTCACGCTTAGATATATCACAAAACTAGCAACTAAGAAGACTCTTTATTGTCAGATGATAGCCTCCACTCAGAATGGTCAGCACACGTCCATCTTCAGCAACATTCACAGAGATGTCTAAAGATGTGGCGTGTTCTCGCACTGCATTAATTCCCTCACTGGTCGTCTCCCAGCCACGCACCACGACTGATTTGATGGCCGGGCACCACTTGCCCTTCAGCTGAACTAGATCAAAGAGAGAAGCCTGATTCAGGTCCGGGAAATAACAATAGCTCAGGTCCAGATGTTCTAACGACATTGGGAGATCTTGGAATCTTACGAGCTTTTCGAGCTCGATGGCCATATGTGTGAGACTCTGAAAGTCGCGGAATGAAGGGTATGTGTAAACGCAGTCTTCTAGACGCTCTATATCTTCTAGAATTTCTGGGTCACGGAGATTGTAATGGTCATGAAAGTCCAAGTGGAGCGTCTGCAGTCTTTGTCTGTGCGTTTGAAGCAATGCCTTGACAAGATCCCGTGGCGTGACCAAGGGTTGATAGCCCACATCCCACAACCATCTGTAACGCGTTCCGTCGGGTATGATGAGTTTGAACACGGTCAAACGGGGACATGTCTGCAGTAGCGCTTTCATTGTAGATAATGGTCCTAGACACCAAAACAATTCCGCGGTCATGTGTGTCAAGGTATTGACTGCGCACGATCCATCTGGAGTGTTTGGCACGTCGCTCTCAGAAGAGAATTTTTCGAACAAGGGGAACTGCATAAGAGGCATGTAGTCCTCTATATTGAGCGGGCCGTCCTCGTACTGTTTATGCCTAGATGTCCAAGGTAAACCGCATTTACCCAAAGCTCGCAAGAGTAAAAACCGAATGGATGATCTATCTTGCTTAGATTGGGGTAAAGTAGAAGGGCTACTTACAAATGAAAAGTCTTCAATTTGGAAAAGATCGGAAGATCAACCTGTATCTCATAGATACGATGCATCAAAGCCCGTGGCGCTTCGATTTGAGCTGTGAAGTGAATGTGTTGTAGATTTGGCAACCGAGCTAGAACCTGAACAGCAAGCGGGTAGTAAAAAAGCTCAGGTTCAATCTCAGAGGAATGACCTCCAATCAGTGCCGAGAGTTCCATAAAGACTGCATCTTGCTCAAGTGCAGGCCACTCATAACGCAATCCCCGGTCATTGTATAAAGCGAATTCTTTAGTCTTTTGAGCAAGCGACGGACATTCTATTAAGGTCCAAAGGAAGAGCTTCAGATGAAGTAGAGGATCCGTTGCTGACTCGACTATTCGGACACAGCTGTACAGTGCTGGCTGTGCAACGCCACAGAGACTGCGTGACGTACGGCAAAGGTGAGATAATGTTCTAACGTTGGAGTCATCGCTTGTGGTGAGATAGGAGATTATATCAAGGAGGATTTCGTTGGACAAGTCTGTGATTCGGGCCATTGTTCGAAGGAAATGAAGGGCGTAGATTATAGAGATAGTGTTCACAGATAGCCACACTGCTAGTGATGTAGCGTAGTATGGGCCGCGTCTGGGGCCTGCACACATTCAGCTACTTCGAATGCGGGGTAAGTATATCGTCTGTGCGTACAATGTACGTCATATATAGATTCATCTTCAGGTTCCCGTATGTACACTCGCTTGCACAATTGGCTGACGGTTTGGGGACATTGTGCGAACTGTTGTACCACGCTTAGCCCTGTCTCGTCTAAAGTAGACCTTGCGCGATTAGTTTTAGTTTCGCAGAGAACAGATCTTGTAACCGGACTTAGGGAAGATGATCTAACACTAACATTCTAATACAAAATAAGCAGCGCTTGCCATTCAATTATCAGTCCTCTAAAATTAGGCATTCTTCTCTGCTTCCGCCTTCAACTTCTCATGATGTTTGTGCTCGATAGCCAAACCAACTCCATCCGCAACAATATGAGTGGCAACTTTTACTTCCGTCCCATCTGTCGAATCCAAGACTCCATGAAGTATGCCTTCTGTCAGCGCTACATCAGCGCCCATCGATCCGACACCGAGCGTTGCCACTCCTAGAGCGCCGCTGAAGGCCATTGATCCTACCACGTCTCGCACACGAGTTTTGTGCTGCTCCTCATAACGAGCAAGATGGCAGTCGATGATGGCACGTTTCTTTCGAGCATTGTGGATGCCTGTAGATCCAATCATAACACCGACCAAACTGATGCCCCCGGTGAAAGGTGCTGCAAGTCCGGATATGGTCGTTGAAGTCGCCGAGCCGGTGATAAGGCGTGTGTAGTGGTTCCATTCCAGTCGCAGCCTCTCTACTGACATTTGGGAGCACTCTTCATCATATTCCGTGAAATTAAAAGGCATTTCTGGTGCTTGGGATGAAGAGATTGTTATATAAGTCGGAAGATGTGTAGAGCTGATAGTAAGGTAAAAGATTCAGATCTCTTCTAACAGTAACCAACAAGTTATCTTGTCACTGTATTGTAAGACGAACTTGGGCCTCAGGTCTGGCTTGGGTGGATGTCCTCCATTTATGCATGATATTTGAGGCTGAGCATTCGTTATCTACTTACTTCGTAACCGCAGTGCATTATGCCACAGCTGAGGTTGAGACAGATAATACAAAAGGAGGAGCGGTGATGGCAGAAAAGGGAAACAAAGTCGAAAGAATATATGCACGCTAACAGAGGGCTTGGAGGGTGATGTAGAGATAGCAAGTATCTTAGCCAATAAGAGAGGGGTTCAAGCGAGACCGCATGTTGAAAGAGATACTGCACAGCCCCACACGGTGAAACATCCATGTTGGATGCCGACTGAGCTGACATAGAAACTAGGCTACCATCAGGCCGACCGTAGTCCTCCTAGGCTTCAACGCATCTGAAAGGGCGACAATGCACCCGCGCCCAATAATGAACTGATGGACTACACCTCAATACCCATCGATATTTGCCATCAGCATGCCGCAGAACTCAGCTGATTTTGGCCCCAGAAATTTGGCCCCCCCACCACAGCATCTGTAGACTGCGCACCTCAAGGCGCACCCGCTGAGCGCAACTGACAGCAAGGCAGTTTCATTTCCGGTTGTGATTGTTAGCTCAGCTACACACATCGTGATGGCAAAGTTGCCTTACCTGTTCCTGCTGACACTACATACGTATCTTTTTGCAAATTCGCGACTTACAAAGCCGTACTTTGTACAACTAAAGCTTACTCTACGGGCACAATAGCTGCAAGTAAATTTTGGAAAAACGACTTTGACAAATCAACCGTCTAACTATTCTAGCACGATAATCTAGCGGCGAGCGTAAACCCACAAGTTAGGCGATCCATCGCACTGCTAATAGTGAATTGACTATGTACCCGCGCAGGGTTGGTCTTAAGTTAACATAGGTAGTTTTAACAACGGTTAGATCGGTGCTAAGGATATTCAAAGTTCGCTTCACGACCCTTGTACCTCTCTGACTCTGTTAATAGCTACTAATGAGAGCACATCTGTCCACAACCATCCTTTCACATGAACAGTGTGCGGTCACAATAAATATTCAAGGCGGCTACTTAATTTTTGTTGGATATATGCTTACTATACATAACTCTGCCACGGGACGCACATACTTAGCTAGTGGGCCAAGGACTCGACTTCGCCTGACTAAGTCGTTCGTATGCCTTCTGGCCTGGCTTATCATGTACAAGCCCAATCCACATTACTCTCGAGACATGCGCTTGAACGTCTTCCCATTCAAGCCCAGCTACAGCAGTCTTCAATGCATCTCGTATCCAGGTGTCGTGTGTCCTAGCTACTGTAATGGAAGCGGTGAGCAAAACCCAGAGAAGTAGACTCTTGTCTTGTCTTATTTCACTACCTGCAGTGATGCACATTGTTCTCAGCTGCTCGACCACCCAGGTATACGGTATCCTACGTCCTGGAAGTTGGAATGTGGTAGTCAACATGGCTAACATAGCCAGACGGACCAGTTCCTCGATTGGCTGCGTAACAACATCCGCAAGGCATATGAGACGTGTTTGGAGGGAAGTAAGATCGGGTCGGCAGACCTCGGGATTATTTATAACAAACTTGAGGCGGTTACGATTAATCATCAATGTAAGGTTTTGAAAATCTTTGAAGACATTCAAAATCCGATAGTCCCAGGCTGCCGATGGTTGGTAGAGATTTGGAGGCGGAGTCGGGTATGGGCATCGTATGCGGCAGTCCCATGACTTTACAGGCTGCATGAAGTAAGGTTTTCGGCCAGAGGCGAGAGACCATGCAAGATCAATCCGATCGAGCTTGAAATGCAGGGTTGGCCTCTCTTCGAGGAATGCGGCGTCTCCCCTAAGCTGCACGATTCCACGCAAGCCTTCAAGGTGTGTGGCTGCTGTGGCCCAATCTCCAAACCCAATAGCCAATAGCGTGAGGTTTATAATGACTCGCAGGACGGATTCGTCTTGGTGTGCGAACGCCTTCTGCATTTTGACGCGTAACAACGACAGGGTTGCCTGGAGATGGAATGTCGTCTGAACGCCCGGACCGCCCTTGGACTGGGGAGACTTGAAGTCTTTGATGGCGTAGCTCGCGCACAGGATGGAATGTAGAAAAGTCGTATCGGTAAAAAGCCAGGAGAAACACGCGGATTCAAGGCAGTCGAGATTGGTACAGCGTTCCAGAGGTGTAACGTCATTGGCGAGAAAGTTAAATGCGAATGCATCAGCAAGAAGTATTTCGGCCTCTGGATCAATTCCGCGCCCAGCAAAGCGGATTGGCACGAGATCCTTGATCAAAGGCTTTGTAGGGGGAGGAGCCGCACGACGGGGTGTTCTATTTGACGGAACACTTGGTATCATCTCATTCGCGATCTTTCTCTTCTCTCGCTGCGTTCTTCTTGAGCCTTCGCGCTTATTCCTGCCCAACATACATCGGCTCCTGATCTGTAGGCTTTTCCCAGGCTTAGGGTTCGACACAGGGTCGGAAATAATAAAGTCAAATTGTACATGTTGTGATGTCATGTCGAGGTGTTCGTACTGTGGTCCAAATTGCTATCCGTTTCCGACCCAGGGCGCTCTTTTAGTTCAAAATCAAGGGCCAAGGTCGATGCGCCTGCCGGTAATTAATACATATGTGGATGCCTAGGATGGCTTGGCGATGCAACACGCGCAAGATATCGCCTCGCGGTTGGATGAGCTGTGGCGCAAGTAAGATGAGGCGCATGGATTCTCTACCCTGCAGGGATCAACTTGGCAGCAAAGGAACGCCCACATTGCTGTCCATTTCAGGAAGCTGCCAAGCCTCGATTAGCCTTGTGCATCTCAAGTGAGAGTGGCAGTGGCATAATCTGCATCGGTAGTGTTTTTATGGACTATGTATAGGATTGCGCCTTGCAAAGAAGAACAAGGCGGAGCTGTGCACAATAGGTATGACATACAGCTTGAATGTGAACTGCTACTCAGCTTTTCACCACCGCACGCTGACGACGTCGAGATGCCACTTTGTTGTCTCCAAGGAGTACCTGATCTTACGTGGGGCTATGATTCTTACTACTTGAGGCTGTACAGCCACGAAGAATGATTGTTGTGTGTTGCCGACTGGTGGCTCTAGAGAAGAAAGAATCAAAGTACTTAAGTCAAGAGATGCATTGGAAGAAGGTTATCATCGCAGGTCAATTTCTGAGCACTTCATTCACACTTTCCTATCATCCTCTATCTTTTCCTTTCCGCTAGAGGGTTCAATTTCCAATCTCTAGCTTCGCGTCGACAATGATTTTGACGTGGACTTCTATCACTGCTCTTGCGGCTTGTGCCATTGCCGTAAACACGGATAGTGTCGAGTACGATTATGTGATAATCGGTTCAGGGCCTGGCGGAGGATCCCTTGCGTAGGTCACTAGGCTTGTTCAGGAAGTTTTACTGCATCATTCGTACTAACCAACAAAAAAGTGCTAATCTAGCGACAAGCGGATACTCTGTATTCCTGATCGAAGCAGGGGGCGACAACACAACTGCACTTGTTGAGGAAATCCCATCCTTGTAGGTTTACATTCCGGGTTCCATCGCCATGCTAATAACTGTCAAAGGAACTCAGTTGCTGCTGAATCTCCTCCTCACTCATGGAGCTTCTTCGTCGAGCATTTTGCGAACGAGACTCAGGCCCGACGTGATCCAAAGTACGCGTATCTAAGGAGCAATGGATCGTACTACTCAGGTCTCGAACCTCCCGCAGATTCAACTCCGTATGTATACCCTTTTTTCCCATGAATTTCCTCAATGTGTGGCTGATGCGTCGTGAAATTGTAGTTTGGGTATCCTCTACCCTCGAGGTGCTACGCTTGGCGGTAGCTCGCAAGTCAATGCGATGAACTTCGCATGGGCACCCGATAACGAGTGGGATTACATCGCCAACCTCACTGGAGACAAGACTTGGGGACATGAGTACATGCGCAAGCATCTAATCGAGCTTGAGAATTGTACATATGTACCGCACGGTACTCCTGGACATGGATTCGATGGTCCTGTTGTGGTAAGTCCCGTGTCGCCCACACTGGTAATTGCCGCTGACGCGTAGCGAAACATTTAGTCCAGTATGATGAACCCATTGGTCACAACTGGAATAACATCAGACAACGTGGCTCGCTTTGTGTCGTCCATAATTCGCGAGACTGAAGGTATCGAACCGGAAAATGTTCAGCACTTGGCCGAATTGCTTGTCCGTGACATCAACAGAATCGATGCAGACCGCTACGCAAGCAACCTGACGTTTTTGCTACCGCTAGCCATCGACCCTACTAGTGGCAGCAGGAGTAGCATTGGGAAATATCTCAACAGTGTGGTCGAAGCCGGATACCCCTTGACGATTAGTCTCCATTCTCTGGCATCAAGAGTTCTTTTCGACGACTGTGATGGTAAACCAAAAGCTTCCGGTGTGGAGTATATGGTTGGAGAAGGATTGTACTCAGCGGACCGCAGGTACAATCCATCGCAGCAAGCGAATGATGTTCGGACCGTTCGCGCAAAGAAGGAGGTTATTGTATCAGGAGGCACTTTCAACACTCCTCAGATCCTGAAACTTAGCGGAATTGGGCCGCGCGAGGAATTAGAGGAGCACGGAATACCGGTCATTGTCGACTTACCGGCAGTGGTAAGTCTCGCATGCACATCACGTTGTTGATAATTTGGCTTACGATCCTACAGGGCAACTTCATGCAAGACAATTATGAAACCCCTGTGCACGTAAGAGCTGAGGTTCCATGGCAAGAGGCTGCGAACATCTCTTGCACTAGGACCTTCAACGAATTAGATCCATGCTTTGTTGAATGGAGCACAAATGGAACTGGTGTTTACTCGTTGTCAGGCGGGACTTTCTTCCTGACTTGGCGAAGCAGCCTTAGCTGGGACGATGACGCAGATCTCTTCTTCCTCAGCGCTGCTGGCTGGGGTGATTCTGGCTTCTACCCCGGCTTTTCTCAAAGGCAACCAATCCCCGATATGTGGGGAAGCTCATTAGTAAAGATGCAGACGGCCAACCCTTCCGGCACCGTGCGCCTTCAGTCCAAGGATCCGCGACAAGCCCCAAAGATCAACTTTAACTTCTTTGCCGAGAATGCCGACACGGATTTGCAAGCTCTAGCTGAGGGTGTCAATCTTCTATTGCGTGCCCACGACGATATTGGATTGCCTTACACGGTTGTTTCGCCGAACCCAGAAGTTGAGATGCATCAAGCCCTCATGGATGAAGCATTCAGTCACCACGCTTCAAGCAGTTGCCGCATGGGCCCAGCCGGGGACCGTACATCTTGCGTCGACTCCAAATTCCGAGTACACGGTGTTGACAATCTTCGTGTAGTTGACGCTTCTGTATTTCCACGCGTACCAGGTGCTATGCCAAATGGGCCGACTTTCACAATCTCTCGTAAAGCTTACGAGACTATCTTGGAGGATTGTTAGGAGACGTATACTGAAGTTGATTCGAAGTATCTTTGGGTTTGAAAGAGTGCATCCGGAGCGTTACATATATACGATAATGATGGGTTGTATCATTTAGCATGACTTATATGATGTTATTAAAATCCTAGATCTAGGTTCGTATAAGTATATAGATAGGGAAACATCTGTTGACTCTTTCTCTTATGCATTGTTAGTCTGCAGTAGAGCTCTGTGACATCAAGGACCATTTGTACGAAAAGCATAGGATCTGATATAACGACACCAGCCAAATAAATTTTAGAGGCCTGCAGTTGGGAAGGCGTGTATAGTATGCTAGTTAATTTGTAGCATCAAGCAAAATCACAGCACTCCAATTCTTTGTGCTATAAGAAATTTCAACTCGAATCGAATTTGTTTTTCATACCCCATACAGCTTTGCACTTTCTAGAGTAGCTCTTTGATTATACTTGAAGCTTAGTTGGGTAGTTGATAGTATCAGAGATTGGATGGAGGTAGCATTGATTGGAGGTTTGTGATGATTTGATATTGTTAGAGTCTAGCTCAGAGTATTGAATAGATAAATCCAGTTCCCTAAGCGTTTACGAACTCCCTAGAGCTGGCAGGAGCATTTGCAGTTACTCTTGAATATGCCACAACCAGCCCCATCAATGGACGAACCAATGCTGCCCTTGCACTTATGTCCTGCCGCCTCAGCCTTGCATGCAGCATTGCATCGGCCACTCCAGTTGGTGAGACATCCACCACTTGCGTTCCACCTAGCAATTGCTCTAGCCTCGAGGGATTTGGCTTCTACGGCATCGGAAGTCGGAAGTGCCGATGCAGTGGCAGTGATTGTTGCGAGAAGACTGAGAATGAACTTGGGATGCATTGTGACGGCCAGTGAAAGCTGATACTATAGGTTAGATATAAAATCTGAAAATTGGAGGGATGTTTGGTTTAGGAAGCGTACTTGTAAAATGCTTGTGATGCTGCGGTTAAGTTTGGAAGTTGCCCGAGTTGATGCCACAAAAACAAGGGAAAACAGTCTCCTTTTATGCTCACTTGGAAACCTTTCGCTTGTATCGAATCCGAGCAATGCGAACAATTTCATGGAGGTACCTCCAAATAGAAATGCATGTCCGTGCTGGAGTTGGCATGTCTGTGACTACACATGCATTCGGCCCCATGCACTTGCTGTCTTTGGATTGAATATCTCGTATCTCAATAACAATCAACTCATGTTTACCCCTGATCTAGACTAAACGACAGACCAGCCCCGGAGATTGATTAAAGTGGCGGAAGCACAGTAGTAACTAGCAGCGGGGTATACTTCTAGACGCATTCTCTGGTCACCATTGGGTTCAGCTGAAGGCAGCCACACTTGCGATCTAGCTTAGCGCGGTCCCTGTTCCCCACAACCGTGCCTGTCTCCGCTCAAGGATCTTCAGCTTCGCTCTCACCAGCCTCGCATAATAGTCGCACGTGATACGCTTACTTTGTTGGATTGTGTTGAAGCTGTAGTAGCTACCTTGCGCCCCTGGCTTTTACAGTCCGAATGCTAACACAAGTACATTGTTTGGTTAGTAAATGTCGTTATTTTCTGCGCGACATCAGCATGAGGCTTGTTTGGCAAAATCCAAGGACTTTACGCACACTCAGCTTTTTTTTCCGGGGGCGGGATAGTATCCTGGTAGGCAGGGCTGGTGGAATTCCTCCCGAGTCATAGTGGTGACATTTTCTTGGCCCCCATCTCCAACGTCGCTAATCTCTAACGGCCTGGTTAGGTGAATGTCATTGGGACGGCGGATTGGGTGGCTGCCTTAGTACACACGTCCGTAAATCTTGCAGCCTCCGTTGCCACTGCGCACTTAGTTTGAACGAGCCAGCACCATTGAAAGTCCAGCAATAAGACAAGTGATACAAATCATGAGTAGGGGTCTTTTATTACAAGTGTTTGTACGCAGGCACAGTTGGAAGATCCATATGAATAGAGGCGTGTATAAGACTGACTAGTGTGAGCAACAACCACTTCAACCATATTCACTCTCGGTACGTTGAACAAGCCCCGTTGTCATCATGGGAAAACTTTTGTTTCAGATATCCTCAGGCACTGACTCTGGTTCCTGAACGTGCGCCAGGCCTGGGTGATGGAGGCCTTTGCAGTCATGGTGTGGTGCGTGCGCATCATGTGAAGGGCATGGCAGCGTGAGATTGTCTCCACGAGGGGGCCCTGATACTGGCCCAACTCTTTTGCAAGCGCGCGTGTTGAGGCGTGCTGGCGATGGGGCTGTCGAAACGGTACGTCGGCCATGGAAGGGTGACTGATTCAACAGCTGGCGTCGAGTGTAATCGGTGTCTTCACTCTGATGACTCTCGGTACGATCCCATATTCCGCCATGTCTCAGCCGTACAAAAACCGCTGCTTTGGAGCATACTCATTGTGACTATGTATTGGTGAGTTGTTATCCAAATTCACGGTCTAGACACAAAACAGCCATAAGAGGTATGAGTGAAATCTGCCCATTATCGAGGTACGGAAAGCTGTCAATTATTCATCATACAGCAAACAAGGCTGCTGGCCATTGATCGGACCAGTGCCTGCATATGTCACCCCTAAAGGCGAATTCATGCAATCTGATTTTCGCACGCTAGCATCCTTATCCTTTCTACGAGAGCCAAGATCCAACCCAGATTAGCATTCTGAATCATCTTTGGTCTTTCTTTGAGCCGGTTGGAGCTTCATCCAGAGTTCGGGGTTTTCCCACAGCGCAAACACCTTTTGGTCGATCCAGTTTTCCGATTGTGGGCACAGCTTAAAGTCGAAGTTCCAAAGGGCGGTGGCGAATGTTATGCGCATTTCTTAGTAGGAAAGGCCAGAAAGACGGTTTTATTAGTGACTTTCCCCCATGACATTCCAAAATAGCCATGCGACATGAAAAAAAGGGATATACGGATGACGTACTTTTTTCCAGTGCAGTTTCGAGGGCCGACAGAGAATACCTGCATGGCATCCTTGCGGTCATTGTCGTACCCCGTATTTGGCAACCACCGTTCTGGGACGAATCATTTTGCGTTTTTGAAGTTGCGCTCAGAGTAATCTGCGCTATAAATTGACATCACAATGCGCGTCTGTATGTGTACATGTCAGAATGGTTCTTAGATTTTGAGCATCATCTGGTTTGCTCCATGATTTTCCAATTTGCTTTCACAAGCCTTGTTTGTCCTGATCTTGCAGCCACCCGTATTCGATAAAATATTTGATACATACGTTTGGGGCAACCCAATTGCCATCGATATCAGCACCGCTTGCGGGTGTGACGCGGAATAAGGTGGTAGGCACTGGCGGATATACACGCAGAGCCTCTTCGAAACAAGCACTCAGGTACGGTAGTCTAGGCAAGACTTCAAGTCTTAAATCCTCTTTAGCCAAAGCTCGCACTTCTTCTTTTACCTTCTCCATCTGATCAGGATGTTTCAAAAGCAAGGAAGTTAATCCGCTAATGAGAGTTGCGGTAGTCTCTGTCCCAGCTATCATAAATGTAGAGGAATTGGCATACATTTGACCTTGGGTTAGGTAGTCTTTCCTCTTCGAGAGAGCAAGCTCCCAAAAGTCAGGTTTGTCGCCCTTAGTAACCTTGGCAAGACGCTTGTCGACTCGAGTTGCGGAATCTTCAAAGTGATCTCGCGCATCTTCCATGACTTTTGGTGGTGTCAGGGCTCTTATTACTGCTCCAAATTCTGGAAACTCTAAGTTGAAACGAAGGAATGCAAGTCTCTTCAGATTGGAAAAGATGGCATAGATCCAGGGTGTATATTCCGACGTGTCTAGTAGCCTAAGTGGCTCCCCGAATGTAAGTTCGCCTATAATGTCGAAATCCGTGTAATTATAGAGCTTGACGGCGTCGAAGCGGACTTCTGGGTCATTAGAAATTGCTTTGGTGATATTTCCGATTAGCTTGTCAAAAAATTGGCGGATAAGAGGTTCTTGTAGCTTAAGTGCTTTGTCGCTGAAAGCATGGGTAAATACTTTCCTCTGTCTCGGGTTTTCTTTGACATTGAAAACTGTGGCTAAACTATACTTGCCGTTATGTTCAGGTAGAACTGATTTTGGGTCTTTGCCGTTCTCTTGTCGGCCTCCAGTCCTGTGACCTGAGATATCCTTCCAACCTTGTGGAGTAGTGCAGGTCAGTCGATCGGGACCCAATCGAACCGTCTCGCCATACTGATCGTGCATTTGTTTCGTCCACTTGGCCTCATCGCCAACAAACACTTTGTACATAAATACAAGGCCTATTGCTCCTTCATCACTCTTAGGACATCCAAACTTCATGGTAATCGCGCATAGCAGATGCCGGTTGGTGCCATGTGGGTCTTTCCCGGCCTCTGCTTGGTTTTGTCTTACTTTATCCCCGAGAGCCCTCGCTGGCTCGTTCGTCAAAATCGCAATCATGAAGCGACCAAGAGTCTCCTGAATATCTACAGCTCAGTAAAAGGATACGATGCCGATGCTGAAACCACGCAATTGGTAGCTTCGATTGAGCTCGATCGTGTCACCACTGGATCGTGGTCTGACCTGCTCAAGGGATAAGCAAATGTCACTGCAGCTCTGAGATATAACCGGATGTTAACAATTTACAACCAACAGTGAAGACTCCACATTGCACTTGCAGTGTCTGTTTTTAGCCAGTTTACGGGTGGTGCCTTTGTTACACAATATGGAACAATTTTCGTCAGAAGCTTGGGGACGTTTGACCTGTTCTCCTGGACGGTCTTTTTCAAAGTCGCCGTGATGATTGGTTCAATGGTGGCTTTTGCTACAATTGACACATATGGTCGCAGGCCAATCTACCTTGCCGGTGCTTCGATTGCAGCCGCCTTGATGTTTGCCATTGGTGGCTTAGGAATAGGCCACATAACCACGCTGGAAAATGCTGCCAAGGAACCAACAAGAAGGACATATGCTATACGCAAAGTGCGGATGTTTTCCAGTGCAAATCGAAAGACTATTCGTGTGTTTGCAATTAGGGTTGGGGTCTGGATTTGCTGGTGAAAATGTGCAGTATTGTGGTAAGCCAATCACATATTGTTGTTATAGACCAGCTGGGGTGTCGAGCAGCTTATGGATGTAACTATTTATAGTAATCTCAACACATGCTAAGCTGTACCGTGATGAAGTAGACATGTCGCGAGATAATATCGCCATGCTTTTTTCGCAACGTCGGCGTTTGTTTCGTCCAGTCAGGCGATGTGCAGAAATGCTTGCCGGTTGTGGCTACGCGGACCAGCATTCTGTCGCAAGCGACTGCAACAGCACGCATCCGGCCATGCGACTCCAACGCACAAAAGCATCTGCTCACGCCATCTGAGCTGACAAACAGCGCGTAGTCTGCACGTCGCGTTACTACAGTGGTGCGCTATTCACATACCCACCCAACGCATTCGTACCATAGGCCCAACAAACCGTGGCCGGCAAGGAGCGGACATGACCTCATGGCTGCAGCGACAACTGTTTGCAAACCTTTAAAGGGCGCCGCACCCAACAACAAACTCACCACAAGCATCTCCAACCAAAACCCAATACTTCTCTAGCCAAAGCTTCGTCCCAATTGACATCTTGGCAATCATGGCTCAGGATCTGCGCTCCCAGGAAATCAAAAATCCCATTGATGTGGCCGAGGTGAGTGCGACATCGTCGTATGACATTGACGCTAGTAGCTGATTCGGCGATACTGCTTAGTACCTCTTCCGACGCCTGCAGCAAGTTGGCGTCGAATCAATCCACGGCGTGCCTGGCGACTACAACCTTGTCGCTCTCGACTACATCCCAAAGCTCGGCTTGAAATGGGTCGGCAACTGCAATGAGCTGAACGCTGGCTACGCCGCCGACGGCTATGCCCGAGTAAAAGGCATCTCTGCTCTCGTGACGACATTCGGTGTTGGAGAGCTCTCAGCCGTCAACGCCATTGCTGGTGCTTACTCCGAGTATGTGCCAATTGTACACATTGTTGGCTACCCATCGACCGTCTCGCAAAAGAATGGCGCTCTCCTCCACCACACGCTCGGAAACGGCGACTTTACCGTCTTCTCGCGCATGTCAAAGGAAATCTCATGTGCTGTTTCCATGCTCAACCACCAGCACGAGGCGGCCATGCTGATCGACGATGCCATCCGCGAATGCTATCTCAAATCAAGACCAGTCTACATCTCGCTGCCTAGCGACATGGTGACGAAGAAAGTCGACGGTGACAGGCTCAACACACCTCTTGACTTGGAATACCCGCCCAACGACCAGGAAGCCGAAGACTACGTAGTTGATGTAGTCCTCAAGTCTCTTCATGCCGCAAAGAACCCCGTTATTCTGGTCGATGCATGTGCCATTCGCCATCGTGCCCTCAAGGAGACACACGAGCTGGTCAAGAAGTCTGGAATCCCAACTTTTGTCGCGCCAATGGGCAAGGGCGCAGTAGATGAGACGCTTCCAAACTACGGTGGTGTATATGCCGGAGACGGATCCAACGCCGGTGTCCGCGAACGCGTCGAGTCATCCGACCTCGTCCTCAGCATTGGCGCCATCAAATCCGACTTCAACACTGCCGGCTTCACAATCCGCATGTCGCAGCTCACAACCATCGACCTGCATAGCTACGGCTGCAAAGTGCGCTACTCCGAGTACCCCAACGTACGCATGAACGGCGTCTTGTCCAAGGTCGCCGCCAAACTCGGCCAACTTAACATCGAATCCGGCCCCAAGCCCAACAACGACGTACCCCACGCCGAAACCTCGTCCTCGGACGACAAAATCAAGCACGCCTGGTTCTGGCCCAAACTCGGCCAATGGCTCAAGCCCAACGACATCCTCATCACCGAAACCGGCACCTCCAACTTCGGCATCTGGGAAACGCGTTTCCCCGCAGGCGTAAAAGCCATATCCCAGGTCCTCTGGGGCTCCATCGGCTACGCCACGGGTTCCTGCCAGGGCGCCGTCCTCGCAGCCCGCGAATCAAACATCAAGCGCACCATCCTCTTCACGGGTGACGGCTCCTTCCAGCTTACCGCTCAGGAAGTCTCGACCATGATCCGCAACAAGCTTGCTCCCATCATCTTTGTCATTTGCAACAAGGGGTATACGATTGAGCGTCTGATTCACGGCTGGGAAGACGCGTATAATGATGTTCAGGAGTGGAAGTACAAGGATATTCCAAACGTGTTTGGTGCGGCCGAGGGCAGCGTACTGACGTATCGTGTTGAGACGCGCGACGAGGTTGAGAAGTTGTTTGCAGACGAGGAGTTTTCGAGTGGAGAGACGGATAAGATGAGGTTTGTCGAGTTGGTCATGCCGTGGGATGATGCGCCCGCTGCGCTTAAAGCTGTTGCTGCTGCTGCCGCTAAGACGAATGCTGCGTAGATTTTTCCTTTTTCTTGTCTCTGATAGAAATGTGAGTAACGATGTAGACGATTTCTCTTTTCTCTTTTCTCTTTCCTTTTTTCCCTTATAATGTAAGTAGATTAATTGATCACATCCCATCACTCTTCAACGTCCACATTCCTTATATATACTCCTTCATCCTATCTATTTTACAACACCCCCGCAACTCCCGCAGCAACAACCCCCAAAACCCCCATCCACCCCAACACCACCTTCCCCCCCTCATTACTCTCGGGCCCCGTATACCCCGTCTGGCTCGGCCTAGCCCCCGCCCCAGACGCCGTCGGCACCGCAACCCCCGTCAAATTCTGCACCCTCAACCACCCAGACGCAATCACACCGCCCAACCGCGCCTCGCCCACAAAAGCCCGCACATCAAATCCCACACGGTTACTCGATAGCCCCGCATACCGCGCTGGCACCTGGAACCCGGTTGGCTGCTCGAAGAGGATGAAGTTGTAGGCGTGCGGTATGTCGCCTACAGGGGGCGAGGGTTGGAGGTATGGCACGGGGTTCGGGGAGGGGATGTTGAGGGAGGAGGATGAGAGGGAGATGTTGGGTGCGAGCCAGTGGATCAAGGGGACGCGAGTGTTGTTTCGGGGCACGTCGATGTCGATCATCAAGAGGAGGTAGAGGCCCGAATTTGAGACTGAGGAGAGTTGGGGGGCCGAGATGGAGGGCGCCTGGGCGGTTACTTTTCCTTTGCGTTAGTTTTCGGAAGATTTTTTTTAAATGCTTTTGGGATGGGGGAGATGGTTACCGGGACGTGGGAGGAGCTCTCCCTGAGGAGAAACCGTGTCGTTGTTGTTGTAGGTTATGGTTAGGTTGGTTGGACCGCCGGGGAGAGGAAAGGCCGGGGCTACATCTGCGGTTGCAGTGGAGAGCAGGAGTGCTGCTGCACTCAAAAACGCAGTCTTCATGGTTGCTTGTCTTTCTGCTTCTAATTCTGCTTAAAGAGAGAAAGAAGTCGCGCAAACAGGACGCGTCGTCGAGAAAAGGACACCCGCCGTTTTATGTAACATTTAGAGTTGCAGATGGTTCCCGCGGCTTGATTGGATCTGCCGGGTGTTCCTGGTACATGACGTCGTCGAAGTGTGATGATCGCTTGTCACTTGCAGCGCGAACCAGTACCGAACCAGGCCTTACGCCGCTTCGGAAGTAATTATCGCTCTCCCAGCCGCAATCTTTATAGAGCAACATGGGTGCTGCTATATTGCTGCTATTAGCTCCAACCGTCATGTGAACTATTCTCTCGACATCCAACGGGTCAATGACTGCATTTCGGTCTAGCTCTATTTCTAAGAAGCTTTTTTTGTCACCATGTTTCCTTTGCCAAGAGTGTCTTTATTTTATTTTATTTTCCGCATCACCAATAACACTCCAACCTACGCCCTGGTAATCATGTGTTCGCGCCCAGGTCCAACACCGATCCATTTTACCTTGACACCCACAAAGTTCTGAATGTACTCGATATAACTCCTCGCCTGGCTGGGCAAGTCATACCAGTTGGTGACGCCCGTTGTCGGCTTCTGCCAGCCAGGCAGCGTCTCGTAGTGTACCTCGACTTCGGCAAGCATCTCGGGGTTGGCCGGGAAGCCATCGAGTGTCTGACCCTTGTACGAGTATGATGTTGCTACCTTGATTTCAGCAAAGTCATCGAGGACATCGAGTTTGGTCAGGTTGATGGCGGTGTAGTCGTTACAGGCGTGCGAGTGCTTGACGACGACAAGATCGAGCCAACCGCAGCGGCGCTTGCGGCCGGTTGTGACACCGACTTCGTGGCCGACTTGCTGGAGTTTCTCGCCAACTTCGTTGAGCTGTTCGGTGGGGAAGGGACCACTTCTCAAGTCAGACGCTGCTCAATTTTTGCCAGGGTATTCAACTTACGATCCGACACGGGTGGTGTAGGCCTTGACCACGCCGATGACTTCGGTCAGTGACCGCCATCCGAGATTAAGACCTGTGATGACACCTCCAAGACCAGTGTTTGACGATGTGACAAAGGGATATGTGCCGTAGTCAATGTCCAGCATCAGCGCGTTGGCACCTTCGACAAGAATTTTCGCATTCTTGGCCTTTGCCGAAGCCAGTAGAGGGATCTGGTCGACGACATACGGAGCAAGTTTTTCGCGAAGGCCCTTTGATACAGCGTCAGTCATTCGTCATGTACATCAGCGACGCGACTACCCACCTTGTACCTGGCAATCTCCTCCTCGACGTTGTACTTGAGCAGATCACCAAAGCGTCTCTGGAAGCCATTGGCCAGCCTCCGGAGCTTCTCCTCGAAAATAGCCTCGTCGAACAAATCGCACATACGCAGACCGCTCCTGGTCATCTTTGTGCTGTAAGTTGGGCCGATGCCCTTCTTTGTTGTGCCTATGTCACGCCATCAGCACTGTGCAAAAGCGCAAACATGGTCGCCGGATGCTCACCAATCATGCCGCCACCCAGCTCCACCTCCTCGAGGCCGTCGACCATCTGGTGCACGTCGAACACGACATGGGCGCGGTCCGAGATGAAGATGCGGCCATCGGTGTTGAGGCCGTGCTTCTCGAGCGCCTCGAGTTCCTTGAAGAAACTGGGGACGTGGACGACGCAGCCACTGCCAATGACGTTGATACAGCCGGGGTTGACGAGGCCGCTGGGCAGAATGTGGAAGTCGTAGGTGATGCCGTTGGCGACAATGGTGTGGCCGGCGTTGTTACCGCCCTGGGCGCGGCAGCAGATTTGCGACTCGTGGGCGAGGATGTCGGCGAGCTTGCCCTTGCCTTCGTCGCCCCATTGGGCGCCGAGGACGACGGTGACGGTCATCGTGAGAAACGGAGAACAAAAGACAGGCGAGGAGGCGACGGGGCGGCTGGTGGGTTTTCAATCTGCTTATGGAGAAGCCGACTTGGCCAGGTTGCGGGTTAGTTAGTCACATAGTTTGGCCAACAAAAATATTTGCTGCGTGCCGTGGATTCATTGCAGGCAAGCTGGCCGGGCATTTGCTGACCCAGGAATTGTTACGGGCGCGCCCAGTGTGGTCCAGCAGCATTGCTTGCTGCACTCTTCCAATCGACGCGCTGCCATATGTTATACCCGCAGACTCAATGGCTTTCTTGGGCCTCTTCACTTTTCCTCTTCGCTGCCCCGCCATGCCCCGCCATGCACGGCGTGATGCCGCCATTTTCCGCACGAGCCAATGACGCACCGACAACCCCCACGTGACTTGTCGAGTTTCCATGTATGTATGTAAGTATGCAGTAGATGGAGCCTGGCCAGAGAAGATGACTTCAACAATGTACCATTACCCAAATACTTTTCATGAATAATTACCACACGCATCATGTCACGTAATCTACACATGAATGCAAGGGAAAAGGTTGAAATTTCCCAGTCTGACGCCTATTCATGCCATTACGCTAACATTGACTAAAGCGAAGAAAAAAAAATAGACAGCGCGTTGAAGTCATTTTTCCATAGTCAGTACATCCAAACACACGCTTAATGCATGTATCGGAATTCCGGATGCCGATATCCCAGGTCCTTAATCTCTGCATCCGTCTTGCCCTGCAGACGGTGATCCCTCTTGCCCATGTCACGCTGCCTGTTCTCCCACTTGCAGTAGACGATGCCGAAGACAGCAAGCAGGCACACACAGATTTGACCAGCGAGGTTGATGGTGTGGCCAGTTGGGTAGCGGGGCGCATCTGAGCGAGTATATGTCCTGTAGTTTTTGCGTTAGTTCGAGTCGATCAGGCACGCAGCAAGGTGATTTAACATACCAAGTTGCCACGATACCACCAGCGGTACCAAGAGTAACAACGTAAGCGGTAGAGACGGATCTGACGGCAGGTCCAGCGGCGTTGTTTGCCGCCCATGCAAGGAATCCAGGACCTCCAGGGAAAGCGCCAATCGTGATGAGGAAGATGCCGCCATATCGAGTCGAGGGGTCAGTTGCCCAGCGCATGATGCAGAAGCCAGCAATAGCAGGAAGCGTGAAAACGGCCAGGTAGATTCCACGACGGTTCGTCTTGTCTGATATAAAGGCGATACCAATAGCAATTACGCATGCACATACGTACGGAGGTACAGAGTACAGCTGTGCCTTTGTCGCAGTCCAGCCAAGATCGGCAAGGATAGTGGGCTAGTGCAATGTCAGCAAGTCATTCACACTTAGAAACACACAAACTTACCATGAACAGAGAGATACCCTGGACGGTAATGTTGATGAAAAAGAAGCCCAAGGCGCAGAAGTAGTTGGTGATGTTCATCACAGCCCTCTTGATGTGGTGTGGCTGCGTCTTCTCGTTCTCGTCGCCTCCACCCCGCTGGATAAGTCGCCTCGAAGCAATCATTCGTTCGCGCTCGTTCAAGAACCAGCACTCGTCGGGGCTACTGGGCATAACGAAAGGAGCGGCAAGACCAACGAGCACGGTGAAAAGTCCCTCGAAGAAGAAAATGTTTCGCCAGGTATGGATGATCATGCCTGATGCGCCCCATGGAGGAATACGGGCAAGACTTATCACACGTCAGTTCCCGTTTTGAAATTTCATCGCAAAATGAATACATACCCAGTAGCAAGGAGACCACCAAAGGCTCCAGCCATGGAGGCTGCTGACACGTAGATGCCGACACGGAAGAGAAGTTCATTGCGCTTGTAAAAGCAAGTAATGAAGAATGCAAGACCGCTGCGATGGCTCAGCAAATAAACTTTGAGAATGCGCATCAGGTAATACTTACGGCATGACACCACCTTCAAATATACCCAGGAATCCTCTGGCCACGAGCAAGCCGGCAAAGCTGTTCACAAAGGCAGTGCAGAGCGAGACGAAGCCGAATCCGCACACGAGGAGAGGCAGGTACCACTTGGGGCCGAGTTTCTTGAGAAGGAGGTTGCTGGGTACTTCGACAAACATGTAGACAATGTAGAAGATGGATGTGACCCAGTTGAACCGCACACCCGTGTTGAGGTTCAGGTCATTGCCCAGACCCTGGATACGCGCATTTCCAATGTTGATTCTGGTTGAAAATTAGTAGCCAACTCCTCACAGTAGAGTGCAAACTCCATACCTGTCGAGGAAACACAGCAAGTACAGAAACGTCGTGAGTGGTACAATGACGCGATCGAGTTTGTGTCGGACCTTGGCTTCTTCCTCAGGGGTCCAGGAAAATTCGCCTTCGGTGGACCTGTCGCTTCCATTGGCCTCGTCGTCTGAATGAAATTCATTAGCATCTCCTCATCGCTTCAGAAACGAGTAGCCATACAAAGAATGTCTTGCCCCTTTTCAATCTCGGCAGGGGAGCGTTCATCCATAGCACTGATTGGTTGCACCATCTTGTGGGAGGAGGCAAATATGGCAGCCAGTGGTCCAGTCAGAGGAATAAAAAATTCTCAGTCGACTTGCTGTCGCCCCACAGTATCCAAGAGTCTGGGGAAAAGAATCTGGGGAAGAGCAATGCCCATATAAGGTCGTACGACGGATCCTGTGGCCGACGGGCGTCTTGGTCCAAGAGGCGCTATGAGGCGTCGCACGGGAACAGGAAAAGGGTGCCGGCAGTTGCTTTGGTTTCTGCTCGTAGAGGGAGGGCAGGCAGAACATACTTAGCTTGAATCCTCTTGTCCCCTTTAAGCTGGCGGCAACGGGGGCCGGATGCGCCTCCAGCGGGGGAGGATTCAACCGAGTCGATACAACAACCCTATACCGGCCCGCATTGTTGCAAACCAACCTCCCTTTGGCTGACAACTTGCGGGGCGACTCTTGGCCGACAGGGGTTGACTCGTGCAATTTGAGCCGATGGCGGGGAGGAATGGCGCTGTGCTTGGCAGAGCGGGACGACATTTTGTCGTCAATACCTTGTGCTAGTTGGTGGCGAACCCGGCAGTTGAGGTACCCAAGCCTTTGACCAACAGCTACCATTGCCGCACGTGTTGCTGGCTGTAAGACCATGGTGTATCCTTGTGACCAAGTCGACTTTCTTGGGCGTGTGTTGAGGAAATGCGCCGTTGCTACTAAGCAAGTCCATGTGTGCCTGCTAAGTTTTGCATTTACCCACAGGCTCTTTAGGCCATGTCCTAAGCGAGCCCTTCATTTCCAAGCCCGTCGACAATATCAGTAGGTACGTATCTATGTACGCATTTGTTCAACTTGCATGTCCCTGATTATGCAAGCTCATATATGTATGTTGTTTAAAAAGACCCATAAGCATACGAACGTTTTGATATCAGTCGGCCCTACTTTTGCGCTTATCTTGCCGCACGAATGCATGTAAGTAAGCCTGCCTACCCAAATATTCCCCAGATTGCCATCTCATGTCAGTGCAGTCAGATTTTCGGATACAGCCGACTTTACTAGCTCAATGAGGCCGAGTGCCGGATCGTCGACTGCTTCTCCTAGAGCCTCATCGTCTCAAATGCGTAAAAGTAAAGTGAACGAGCCCGAATTCCTTAGACACCTGAAACAGCAGTTGCCAAGCCGTCACTGCCATCTTGGGAAAGTCTTATGCTGATCGCATGCATCATACCACTCTAGCTACCGTAGAGTACGCCCGTAATCACCAAAGTAAAATCTCCCGACACTCAACCTTCTTGGCAAAGACAATACTCCGACACTCTGAAGTTTAAACCCAAGAATCCCCTAGCAGCACGGATATTGCAAAATCATACGGTGTACACATGTATACGGGCCTCCGGAGACTCTCCGCAGCAAAAGCCACAAATTCTAGGCTACGCCTAGTAACGCCGTCTACAAAGGGGCGTCCAACAACCTCACAACACATCTAGCGCGAAACGCCCAAAGCCATGATACTTGTTACAATTACGAAATGACCGTCATGGGACTCCACACAAACGCACCTGCTAGATTGGCGGCCTCTGCTGGCTCGGATGGCCGACTTGCGGCTTTGGTTTCGGCACCTCCTTGACCCCAGACTACGCTTTGATCATTGTTGGTGCCTTTGCAATACCCTCGGTTGCGGCTGTTCCGTCACGTGACCCTCACTACCTGGCTTCGATTGCGACACCCACATGCTCTGCTCGCCCCTCACCCTGTTTCTTCATGTGGTACGTTTTCCGGCAACCCAGAAGAGTTCCTACAACCGCTGCATCAGTCCTGGCTATCAGTATCCACCCATACAGCGCCTGTACCTCCTCCTTTCGTCCATCACCATCCGGATTACCGACGGGAAACATCTACATTTGTGGTCTTGTCGCCCTCCGCTGCTTCTTACTCTTGGCCATCTCCACAGATTTCTCGGAGCATTACCTTGGCACTCTGCATCAAGCTTCTTCCTTGCACTTGGACATTTGCACTCGTATTTGGCTCCCAGATTGGTCACGATGGCCGTTGAGCTACTATTGGAGAGCTATTGAGAATGATTCTTCGGATCTGCGAGATAATGCGAGCAAGAAGCGAGTCTCAGCAAGTCTTCACAGTGAGAGAGCAGTGTCTGAGTGAGTTTGCACAATTACTACTCACAACACGTACGCAAAATGAACAACTCCAACCTCATGGGCCTAATAAAAAATTTGCTTTAGCTATGAATGCACACTGAAACTGATTGAAAGCCTATAAAAGATTCCCTGGATGACCAATGGGCTATATCATACAGCCAACCACCATCAACTACAACAAGCGAACAGACAAATCTACCCCTCACAATGTCGGTAATACACATCATTTACTACAATTGCGGTCATCTTAGACTTATTGTATCTCACAAGCATGACGGAGACGAATGCCCCACTAACATGCCAGACACCACTACGACACCAGAAAACTGCAACCGCTGCATGAGCCCAAAGAGCGGCAGCGACAGCGAGGGCGCAAGCCCTGATATGTACTTTGAAAGTGATTTTTCGAGTATATCAGTAAGCTCCGGCGACGCTACTGATTCTGACTACAATGGTGACGACGAGGATGACGACGGAAGTGACGACGAAGGTACAGATGAAGGTGCACACCAAAGTGACGAAGAAATGCTGTCTGACAACAGCAATTATGTGCCGGCGCTTAGACTGAGAAATGTCAATCCAACAGAGAACTGCACAAACCCCTGGTCGGACATGTCAGAACTCTAGAAATGGTATGGATAAATGTTTAACTCGACGAAAATTCCAAGACGGGGGCTGTGCAAGAGCAGCGTGCCAATGCCTTGCATACGAAGTCGAAAGCGCTATGATCCATGATCGTCTAGAACAATGGCAAGTCTCTCTCTTTGGTCTAGAATGACTGACACAACTACCGGCGACTTGGCGCAGCTATTCACGGTCCGAAGCAACCCAGCAAGCGTCGCCAAACTCAGGAATGCACCTGTTGCGGTCAGCCTTTACGATATTGCTGCCCCCAGTCTTACAGTAAGCTTAGCAAATTGTTCGTAATAGTAGAGAATCGCGAATTGAATCACTAGATCTCGTTTTGTGCATACTGATACGTTATGTAGCAGCTACTCATGAGTTGCATGTGAACTTATTCCGGACTGTGCAGTGATACTGATTGATAATATGTCAATGTTCTCCGTCTTCACTGATTTATATATAGGAGACTAGAATTCACATAGATGAGAGGAGAGGCAGATGCCAATGTGATTGCAATGTACGTCTTCAGTAGTACTCTGAGCCGACTTTATCCCTTATTGCATACTGTGATATCTACAAAACATAGATTGCCATGACCTTTTATCCAGCCCACAAAGCTTGAATAGATCCCAAAAATTTCAAGACGACGGCAAAGTATTCACGAAGCTTGAGGTCGATACGAAGTCATAAGGACGGCTGGTATTGGATGGTACAATATGCGATGAGATGAATTAGACGTGAAACGAAAGGCAATGATTCAAACTCGCTACATCTCTGGTAACATATCCAACACACAATATCAACCTAAAAAAGAATACGCTCTTTTCATAATCACCCATCACCTGCCAGTCCTCACGTGACATGCCATCAAAAACGAGACCGATGCGCGGCCGCTCAGTGGCGGCAGCTACTACGTTATCGATAAGCAACATTGGTTCCGACGGATGTTCCGACAACCTTCATCTCGGATGCCCACCTTCAACCCCCAGCAAGGCAAAAGAGCTCCCGCTGCCTCCAAACATACCAAGTCGAACTCGAAAATATGCAGGTATCTGAGGGCGCTCCAGCACATGGCGCGGTAGCGCATCTGCTACCGCAAACGTACAAGAGGCTTGTGTCGGAATGGCTCGAGGAGGACACGCCGAGCTTTGATTATGGCGGGTTCGTGGTTGGGGAGGAGATGTCGGAGGCGAAGCTACTAGGCAAGAGCGAGGTAAGTGATTCCATCCTCTAGATATCCATCTTGCTGACAAGATAGTAGGGCATAGTAGCCGGCGTGCCATTTTTCGATGAAGTGTTCCGTCAACTAGGCTGCACGTGAGTCCTCCACTATCCACAATGCTCGGTACTGGGGGTTGACATGTTGTCAGTGTAGAATGGCATGTCAAAGAAGGCACGTCCTTCCAGCCCATTACTCACTGCGCCACGGTCCGCGGCCCCGTCCGCCACCTTCTCCTCGGCGAGCGCGTAGCTCTCAACACGCTTGCCCGCTGCTCCGGTATCGCTACCAAGAGTCATCGCCTACTGACCCTTTTGCGTGGCGCGGGATACCCCAACATCCTTGCTGGTACCCGCAAAACCACGCCTGGGTTCCGTCTCGTGGAGAAGTATGGAATGTTGGTTGGTGGTGTGGACGCGCACCGCGTTGATCTCAGCGCCATGACGATGCTAAAGGACAACCACATCGTCGCTGCGGGAAGCATTACCAACGCTGTGAAGGCTGCCAAGGCTGCAGGTGGTTTTGCAATCAAGGTCGAAGTCGAATGCCAGTCGTTTGAAGAAGCAGACGAGGCGATTGCCGCGGGCGCTGATATCGTCATGTTGGACAACTTTACTCCCGAGGGCGTCCAAGTAGCTGCTAAGGACTTGAAAGATAAGTGGGGTCGTGGCGTTGGCGATAGGAAGCAGTTCCTTGTCGAGGTTAGCGGAGGCTTGACAGAGCACAATGTCGAGAAGTATGTTTGTGGAGACATTGATATTGTGAGCACGAGCAGTATACATCAGGGAGTACCGCATGTGGACTTTTCGCTCAAGATCGTGCCGAAGAGCAAGAAGAGTGGTTGAGGGAGTGCGGCAGTGTGTATTGGGTATTTGGTGAGTGCTTCTTGGGTGACTGAGAAATAGCTAGCTAATGCGCAAGTAGAACTAGTTGGTATAACGGCGGTACATATCAATATAATCAAACCCTTTGACGATCTCAATCAAAATTATGTTTTCCAAAGCGCCTACTAAGGTGTGTCGAGAACAGAAATCACTGTGCCACATTCACTGCTACAAAACATGAACAAGACAATAAAAAGACACACAGCTGTTGTGAACCGTCAATGAGAACCAGTAAAATTCCTACATCCTCGCATCACAATGTCCTTTCGTCTCCAAAATCAACCCGTACAAATGTTGATTCATTTCTCCTACTCATTTGAACAGTAATACTGGAGCCAAAAGAGGACTCAGCAACAGCATAGAACCATTTCAATAACTGCAACATCAAAAACACGCCATGTCTTCTTCAAAGCTCTTTGCAGCGGCCCTGGCCGTCCTCTCTCTCCCCCTCCTAACCACCGCACACCCCACGCCCACCGCCAATACCACCAACACCACTATATACACCCTCACCGACGACCTAAGCTCCAAAAACTTCTTCCCCTCCTTCTCCCTCTTCTCCTCCCCGGACCCCACCAACGGCTTCGTCCAATACCAAAACCTCTCCTCCGCTGCTTCCGCCTCCCTCCTCGGCTATCTCTCCCCAAACAACTCCATCTACCTCGGCGTAGACCACACCACCAAAGATGCCTCAGGCCGCGCCTCCTTGCGCCTCGAGAGCAACAAAAGCTGGAATCGCGGACTACTAGTTGCCGACATTCGACACATGCCCGCGTCGCAATGCGGGGTCTGGCCCGCATTTTGGATGCTATCTGCGTCCAAGACGTGGCCCGAAGGCGGCGAAATTGATATTCTCGAAGGAGTAAATGAAGCACAGGGGAATGTGGTGACGTTGCATACGTCAGCGGGGTGCGTGGTTGAGGATCGAGCTGGCGCGGGCGAGTTCGCGGGGACAATGGTGACGCGGAATTGCGATGTTGATGCCCCCGGCCAAGGAAAGAATGCCGGATGCTCGATTCGTGCGCCGGATAGCGGGGAGAGGGTGCAGATGGGGATTGTGCGGGAGGATATGGGTGAGGCGCGGGCTCCGTCTTATGGCACGGGGTTCAACGATGCGAAGGGTGGGGTGTATGCTATGGAGTGGACCGAATCGAGTATCTCGGTCTGGTTTTTTCCTCGCGATTCACCTGGGTATACGGAGTACTTCTCGCAGTCGAACGACACGGCTGTTACCTCGCTGGATCCGTCGACCTGGGGTCCGCCCATGGCGCGGTTCAGCGGCTCCGGATGCGATTTCAGCGAGCGCTTTGTCGATATGAAGATTGTGTTCAACACGGCGTTTTGTGGTGAGTGGGCGGGGAAAGTGTGGGATGAGGAGTGTGCGGCGAAGACGGGTGTGGAGACTTGTGAGGAGTATGTTAGGGGGAATCCAGATGCCTTTCGCGAGGCGTACTGGGAGGTTGAGGGATTACGCTGGTTTCAGAAATCGTAGTTATGGACATGTGTTGGGGGTTTTCTTTTATTCTCTTGTATTCTTCTTGTTTTTCAAGAATTATTGTAATCTCCGATGGATAAAAAACGTTTGGCTTATCGTACCTGTGGGGTAAATTGATGCTTGTATGTTTTTCAAATTATGCGTTTGTCTCCGTTGTTATTGTGGTGTAGCATCACGTGACTACCTTATAGTATATGTTGCGATTTTCTTTCGTATGTAGATAGGCACCTTCTCTAATCAATCCTTTGCAGCGATCAAATATCAGCTTATTTCTATCTACTCGATTGCGGATCGCCCCTCTGATCTTTTGAGCTCGATCACGTATCGTGCCACATTATCTACCGTCTGTAAGGTCAGCCCTAACGTAATAATTCCTTACCCCTAGAAACTAGTTCTACTAAAGCTAGATTAGTAGTATTAGCCCCATAGCTAGTCTATGGACTAGAGGCACTTCGTTGTTCAGAGCTATCAATATTAACGCGAAAGGTGCTTCTATTTATTATCACTATACTCCTAGTACAAGGAAGTAAACTAGTTGTCGGCAGTGCGCTGCGTCTGCGTAGTTGCTCGTAATTCGTCTCGTCCTAAACCTCCGATATCGCTCATAGTAAACCACATCCATATAGAAATACAGATACAGTATCCTAAAAGAAGTACTGATTGCGTGCTCATTAATGAGGTCCGCCATCGATTGTTCTTCCCGGCATACCACAACGTGAGACCAAAAAGGCACTCCACAATAGCCACATCTAAGAGCACTAGTGGTGACCATGCAATCGGCAGAATCTCGTCCCTCAAATTTGAACAGGAGCATAGTTGCTACCACAACCGATATTATGGAGGTCAGGGCGGAGCTGCAGACCAGTCCCTCGGCGGCTCGAATGAGGGCTGTTTGTGTAGGGTGGAATTCATCGAACGTGAGCACGGCCAACGAGAGCCCGGCAAGCAAGGCAGATACGACGTTGAGCGTCAAGTAAAATCTTTGTAATCGCTCAAAAACTAGAAAAGCTCGAGTGTCTAGAATTTTGTTTACTCGGTCTAGTCAACGTCGGTCCTCTGGCATGGGAGGGTATGGTCTCACCTTTGAGCGTTCCAAAGAAGGCAAGCATGGTGGCAGTTTGCTGCGCTAAATCTAGAGCCGGATCCTATTAACCGCGTAAATGGCGTTATCTTTGGTGCTGCCGTAGAAATGACGATTCGGATTGGAAAACCAGATTCTCACTTCAAACACCACTTTAGATTGTGCAGATGCTTTTGGACTCGCGCGTCATGCATGGAAAGACGTGCGCATAACTGAAGAGACCCCGGCGCGATGCAATTGATGATTTGTCAAAACACACTTCCACTATCTCAGATAATAATATCAGTCCTCATTCTGGAATGGCCTTTAATCACACAAGTGCGAACTCCATGCCTGCTTCGCCCCCATGGCCTTTTTCAAACGCCTCCCCTTCCATGTAGCCATGAAGGTAACTGAGTGAAGGGAAAAAGTAAGCAGATTGTAATGCGCAGAAAATGGCAAGATGTGACTTACCATTCACCAACAAGCTGGTACGTCTTACTGTCCATCTTTGTATCTGTAGCACGAATACACAAAGGGACTTGTCCACCAGAAAAAGCGCATATCAGATCACCATCTTGAACAGGTAGGTCGACTATACCCAACGAGTTGTTGTCTGTAACAACCAATGCTCGTCCGCAAAGAGCAGTGAAGATCCCATCGTCATAAGACTTAGCGAGACTATCAACACCCACAATAGACTTGCTTGCTTGTGTGGACCATGCCTCCCAGAGTGTGTCAACCTGATGCTCACTGAGGATATTGGCTGGACCCCGGGGTCCATTGAAGCGAATCCTCGAAGCGACGATTGTTCTCCGAAACATGTTCAGCCTACTGGCTTGATCTAAGCCGATATTGTCCCAGTTGCGTAATTTCTCTTGCAGCAAGTGCAATGTGTTGTACACGGATGTGGCCTTGTAAAATTTCTTGCCTGGAAATCTTTCTAGAACTTGTACGCGAGCAATAGGCACGCCGACAAGTGTTAGAACACCTTTCCTGACCAGAGCTTGCGCTTTTTCTGATGAACCACAGGCTTTATATCCATTGGGCCAAAGTAAAATCCTCTTTCCTCGCCGTATCGTCCAATCAGGACACCAGCTTGGCAATATAAGCCGAGACCGAACATTCTGGTTGTGATGTGACAGAATCTCCAAGGTCCCTGAGTATTCAATGGTGGTCTTCACAACGGCTTGGTAAAGATGCTGGACAGACTGTCCGTAATTTGGAGCCAATTCGGGTATCTGGCCTATGAGTTTGTACACACTAAAAATCTTATCCCGTGGATCTAACGACTGTGATGCTCTGAACTTGTAAAGTACATCTACAGCCTGCTTGCGTTGCTTCAAGCCTTTTTGGTATTCTTCTCGCGTGAACCAAAGGTGATGAATCGACGTAGGCGCGACATGTCGGATTAGGTCAGCTTGTTCTGGTGGAACTATGCCCTTGAATCGATAGTCTCTAAGAAGACTGAATGCTTTGGAAAACTCCTCGCCTTGTAAAATGCACGCGCCACATAGGAACTGGACTTTCGTTGCAACAACATATTCCTGAATTATCCATGCGCGACCCCACCATTGTCGTTGTGTCAGTTTCAAGAGGGCATTCCAGGATGATGCCAGGCTATGATCGCCCGCCATTCTTGCCACTGCATCGAGATCACTTGGAGGCAGTTCCGAGATCTTCTGTAAGAGATTCAGCGCTCGGTCGCTGTCATCTGATTCATCGCCCAGAAATATTAGAGCCTTCTGACAAAAGGTAAACACCGCCCACATACGCGGGACTTGGAGGCTTTTATCCTCCGTACTCGTTTGATCAATACAAAGCGCGTCAACCCACAAGACTCTCGCCGATGTCTTGTAACGGAGGCACTGTAATGCGCATTGGAGGTTTCGAGTAACAAGTACGGGTCGTCCATCAAGGATAACGGTGTCTGTAGTCGCGGGTGCGCCCCAAACGTAAGATAGGGCTTCATAAGCCCCCAAACTATCTCCTATCGTCGAAACCGATAGACTACATTGAATCGTAGAATCTCGGTCGCCTGGTAAGAGTAAAAGGAGGCGAATTCCCCAGTTTAGATGCTCATCAACACCAGAACCCGATGATGCCGCATCCTGGAGTGGGTGATATAGCTTGGTAGACGACTCTGGTGCATCTGTGAACCCCGCCATGAGTACTACTATGAAGAAAACTTGATTAGGTTGCCGAAATAGAAGAAGTACTACGTCGAGCGACGTGCTGCGACCAGACACAAAGAATTTTCCAGCCTCCTAGGTTGCTAAATCTTAGTATCCCATAAAGCCAGTTGTTCAGAGCAGTGTGTGAGAACGTTACCACTTAGTTCATAGCCTTGCAGTCGCGTGATGGAATACCAAAAGAAAGGGACCTCGATAAGGATATGAGCGTGATTGCAGTGTACATAACAGTGTCATGCGAGTCGTGGGCAGAGCCTCAATCTATCTTCAAGCAGCGGCTGCAACGTACAAAGGTAAGTAGTAAAACAAGTGTTTCGCAGGCTTGAAGATGGATTGCCTCAATAACATGGAGGGGCTTGGAAGTAGATCGGCGCATCGCTAAATAACCATTTCTGCACGTTTTACCGTGCAAAGCCGTCGCAATTGGTCGGATTCTATATGCGCACGCTGCAATGAATTGTGTTTCAGGCCACCTGCATATGTGGGGTTTATTGCAGCTTTAGCTGTAAATTACGATCTATCGTCAGCGGGGTGAGGTTCCGTGCATAAAGAAATGCTATTCGATTAGCTCTCTATTTGTAGGAGCTGGCAAAGGAAAAGCGTGCGGCGGATGTGCGCATTCCATCTGCAAGCCCTTTTAGCACCACTAGCCGAGCTGTAACTACCTACCCATACAGGTTCGCTTGTAAGACCTGCTCCGCAATCTCTTTTCAAAACACACTCTTACATTTGCACGGTACCATCACCCATCCACCCGCTGGAATACATTCTGACTAATAAGTATGTACCAATCTATTAAGCACAGTATACATTGTCAGCACAATGTAAACAGGTTTCTGAAGAGAGTTCTCAAATACACGTGCATTCTGCTTACTACTATAAATCTAGCCATGTCATCCTCTAGACCAGCCAGGCATCTCCCATAAACGGGCTTTAACAGTGGACCTAGAGCCACGAAGAACGCGTCTTCGAAAAGTTAGTCCTAGGACCTGCTCCGCTTACAACACACCGGCGTAATTACGCCACTTCACCTTGGAAAGACCTAGAGCCACAACTTCATCTTTCCACGCATCAGGTGCCTTGCTAGAACTACTGCCTAGCGTAAGGCTTCTCAGCGGTTCCTTCTTGTGCATGTGTGACTTTGGGTTACAGAAGCATGTGAATGGGAATATGCTTTGTAAAGGACACCTAGAAGTAGGAGCTAAGTTCGGATGCGTCGAAGCGTATGTGTTGGCTAGGGTTGTCGATCGTATTAAGCCACATGAGTAGGTGGATATGCCCAACTATAGTGACGTCCCAGAACGTTCGAGTCTTACTAAGACCCATCATGTTCCCATAGATGAAGCCATTGCGGGCGTTCCATCGCCTTTCCCTTGGTCTCTATAATCGCATCGCATCTTGTGACCTATACGCCGTATAGGTAGTATGATAATGATTTTACTAACTATACGTTTTTTCTTTATCATAGCTAGATACAGTGGCTTTTGGCTTAGAATTCTATACAGTGGTTAAATAAGGAGAAACATTAAGAAAGCTTCTTCACAAAACTAATATTCCCTTCCTACAAGTTAAAGGTTTAAAGAAAATTCAATCTACCTATGAACATGATATCTAAATTTAGGTCTTCTACTCTTAAAATTGATTTGAGTTTTTTTTTCCTAGAGAGGGAGGGATTTAAACTGTTAATCTTGCGAATTCCTTAAAATTGTGGTAGGAGAACTTTAGCATCTAGAAGAAAACCCCACTGCGCCGCCCCGATATAGGTAGTATAGAAAGAAATCTTCTTAAGATGTCACGAAATGTGTCCACAGCTCATATAACTGTTGGTCTCGGTCCTCTTTCTACTCACGTTGCTGGCACTTTTTCTCCGTCTTGGAATCTATGTCGTCACCCCATTTCTTACATTAGTTAGGTATCTTAACCTAAATTCAACGTGTATATCGTTAGTGATCACTACGTATTTTATAACGTGGGAATTAAAGTACTATACTATCGATCTAATAGGGTGTAGGCAAAGGCCCTAAATCTGCGTGGTTAGTCTCTCTCGCTGTACCTCATACAAACATTGTAGCTCTTGCACGACTAGAACAGGAGAGACCTTACAGATAACATCGTGAAATCAAGCTTATAATTGACATAACATGTCCTGATACTTACGTACTAAAATCCTCGATACCAGATATTGGTGCCAGTAGCCTCTAAGCCTATCTATTCACACTATGATTCCAGTCCTGTCTCGAACGATCCTTCAACAGCCATCTCACTATCCAAATCTGATTCTGGTCCGCTCCGTCATCATTGAAATTTTCAAGCCAAGCCCGGAACACCATGGACATGAGCATCTTTTTCAAAACCTTACCTATAAACATCTCGGTAGCCGCATATGAATGTAAAGCGACAAACCCAATGTCCAGCTTGGACAATCCTAGGTGCTTTTGCGTCGAAACAGCATATACTGTGATGAGCGCTAGTATCACTGCTTCCCAGGATAACCAAATCCAGAATCCTATCATTACCAATGCAGTATTTCCAAGACAGTCCATGATTAGGATCGTTATCGCCGCTGCTCGTGAAGTTATAGTGAGTTCGTCGAAGTACTTAACAAGTATGACAATGAGCATAATCATCCCAGCAGTCGTCACTGCGTTGGCGTTTCCAAAAAGAAAGGCCAAAGCTATATCTTCGGGTCGGGTTCTTGTTCGAGTCTTGAGAGGTAATTGCATCGAGGGGGGTTCTTTGCTTGGTTGTCAGCCAATGGCATTCTGAAGCGTCTTCATAAGCAGGAAGGGACTTACTGCAAAGAATGCGGATTCTTCTGGCATCTATCCACTCACCCGAAATCGCTTCTATCGTAGAATCTGTGGCAGCAAATGCTTCAGCTTCATTTTTGGTGTTAATCACAGATTCGGTGGCATCGGCTGGGTTGGATGGGGCCCGTCGCAACACAGAAATGAACACTGGGCAGTCGAATGTAGCCAGCAGCCCATCGGACCTATCCGCACCTGCTTCGCTGTCTGAATCTACTCTCGTGTCCGAGCTGCTCCGAGATTCGTACTCGGGTATTGACATTGCACTGGTGAGAAAACATGCGCCTGCGCCATTGTCTCCGGCCGAGTCGTCTTCCTGCATGATACATATCGGGCCATTATGATCCTGGTAAAACGTATCATCATCCTCACGATAGAATTCTATGCGGTAGATGTATGTGAAACCATCCTCGCCACAGACTCCCACCGCTATGGACCTCGAGGGCCACTGAGCGAGTTCTCTTGGGTCACATAGCAGCGCTTTCCTGCGTCCGTGAACTCGTAGAGTATTCATTTCGTCTGTATCAAACCTTAACCAGTAGTTGCGTACTGGGGTAGCGTTGGGATAGAGAGGCAACCAGCGGTTTTCATGATGTTGCTCTGGGCGGTCTCTCGGTCCGGCTGCAGAGCAGAAGAATGAGAATGGGATTCCTCCGAGGCTCCAAAGAATAGCGCTTAGACGATCAGCGGGGTTACTCAGCTGGCAAAGTTTCTGCACGCTGAAACGAAGCAAACTTGCCAGAATGATGTGAGTGTCTTTCCGTTTAGTAGTTGTACGCACACTCAGCTCCTTCCAGAGCTCTCCAAAAAGATACTCTTGAGATTCGGTCAAGAAAAGCATATGATCAAATCCTATCTGAGACCTTCGTAGCAGGCGTGAGAAGAGACTTGTGACGCGTAAATCAAAGTCAGGCCATACATCTCTGGCCTTGACTCTGGAAGTGCCATAGCTAATCCAGTTTACCGGAAACCAATCAGGAAACATCTGGAGCCCAAAGAGAAAATCCAAGTCACAGCCGATCATACGGGGATTGGTGCCAGTGCTGTTTAGTAGTTTCACTTGGCAGGTAAGGTTGAGTGCGCCTTCTTGCAGAGTCCAGCATCTTCCCATCCAATCGCTGATATTGATGCGAGCCAGAACTTCACTGGCTTTTGCTCGGCTAGCATCGATTCTTGAGAGCATATCGTCCAAGACCATTACATGGTTCGCTATAGCGTATATTGCTGCCATCTTATTGATCGACATAGTCTTGAGGCGCCGCGTCTCAGCATCTCGGCCAACAGGCACGCATAATGTATCCAACCAGAACAACTCGTTCTTCCTGCTCAATCTGAACCGTGAAAGATCCCAAGCTACCCCGTGGTGATAGGCTTGACTGGAGTTGGCTGTAGATGCAGCACGAACTGATTTATAGGTGTCGACACGGAGCTCAGCAATGTGAGTAGCAACTCGGCGCAACTGACAGCAAGGCAATGAGTTGTCGTGGGGGTTGCCGAGTCCATGAGACCAAACATGAGATATGGCCACGTATGGTGTATGTTCCGTCAACTTCACGATCTCGATCTCAGGCAGTCCGAAGCTGTCATGGTCTTTGATTTTCACCAGTGGTATGCCTCCTTCATTGATGATTTTCTCGATTTTTCCACTTGGTACTCGAACATGGGGGCAAGAACATCCTTCTTTCGTATGGCGAGATGTGTACTTGTTTGGATCAATATCATTTGCGACACAAGTCTCGTCGGAGCAGGCGGCATGTGTTACATGTGGGGGAGAGCGATTGGCGAGCCTTGTCATGTAGTACGCCATAGCATAGTTGTGATTTTCGCACATCTGACGTCTCCTATAAGGGCACCACTCGTGTTTTTCAAAGTGCTCTAATAACACTTGAGCCGCGGAAGATGGCAGTTGTTTGGCGGGGTGGAGGACCGGTTTTAGTTCGAAAGGATGATACATCTTGCGGTCGTGTCCATCAAACTGCAGTAGGTCCCACTGTAGACCTATGATAATGATTACCAGTATGCGGATTGAGAGCTGTATGACGGGGAGAGGGTGTGTTCTTGCTAGTGGCAAGGAGTCCAAACCGTCAAGAATGTGCCAAACAAAGGAAATGTGACCATCCATGGCATAAGATCGTCGAACTGCCCCTGGTGGACCGTTTGTATTCTTGAAGCGCTGGTTGGTCTCCTTAGCGCCCTTATTCAGCAAGCGACAAATCTCCTTGGACGAAATAAATGACCCAACACCCGGAAATGCAAATGGAGATTCCCCTTCCTGCATTACACAAGCGGTTAGATCCACATGACTGTGTGCAAATGCCTCGATTGTGCCGAAATAGAGCCAACTCTGGATGATTGAGGCGAGATGGGTCGGCGATGTATCTTCAGGGATTTCCTCAAGTCTTGTGAAGTCGATACCGTATCGTCTTGAAGCTACAACAAATTCTGCGTGCTCCAAAGGTCCCGGTGTCGGACATGTGTCGCTGCTCACCAAAAGCGGTACTAGTAGAGGTTCAGTGTTACAATCAGGTTCAGGGAAAAGATCCATGGTGCTTCGCCACAGAAATCAAGTTGAATATAGAAGGGCAAGTCACTGAGGTGAGATTGATGGGGCCGATAAAGTCAAGAGCATATACTCAACTTTCTATCGATAACTCACCCTCCCGAGCCCTGAAACAAGAGAACAATTATAATTTTGGACCACCTCTTTTGGCGCCGGGCTCAGCTTCGTCAGGCGTCCCACAGCCACACATATCACAACAGGACAGTAATGGCCAATCAAAAGTAAGCGAACATCGCTTTTTCGCTTCGCCAGACCACATTAAGAAGTGCCCCCTTGTCATCTACATCGTGTCCATATTTAGATCCTCGGTATAAGCGCAAATAGCAATGTCCTTCGAAAATGTCACGAAATTCAAACCCAGAGGACGACCCGAGGGGATCCACCGGGCACTCCCTCGGCACGGTCCGTTACCGATCAACGTGTAGAAGAGGTATATCAATGGGGTCGTATTGGCTTGCCACGTAGTTGTCTCTAAAGTTGCTAGATACACTAAAATTATCTTCAATATTAGTATAGAAGTCTAAAAAAGGAGATAATAAAATAAAATAAAAAGCTTCTTCAGCACTAAAACTTGATAATAAAAGCTCTTTCCTATAGAACGTAGTATGAGAATAAAATTAGTTTAAAGTACTAAAATATCTTGAGATTGTAAATGTTGGTTTTGGTGGTAGAAGGGGAGATATTTACACTCTCTACCTTACGAATTCCTTAGTATTGTAGTAAAAAGAATTCTTGAGATCTTGAAGAAAAACCTACTACGCTACCCCTCCGAAGAGGTATTTAATCCCCACGAACTATGCAGAAACTCCGTAAGGATTCTTCTTAATTCTATCCTTTAATATATTCTGTGCTTACTCGCGAAACACCTCACATAAAACTACACTACTAGTACACAACGTGCAACACTACAATACACTAAAGCTTACCGCTTTGCAGCTACCTTGCTTCACTCTGAATCTCTCTTTCCGCACCCAAACGTCAACCCTTACATACTATAAGTTTGCTTTTTTATCCCACACGTATATCTACTATCCAGCTCCAGATACTACCATGTAGTATACCATACCTTTTCATGCCACATAATGAATCTGAGCCGCGACATCATCACATTCGTCCAGTCTACATCTAACACAACTCTTTAATACTACAATAATCTCTAGCCCACTCCAAACCATACAGCTCTCCCTTCCCCACTAGACTACATTTTAAATCGTATATCTAAACCTCGGACTATCATCTCCCAACTCAGCAATTTCCTCATCGCTTAGACTCTGCACTGCGGCGTCCTCGTCACCCCGCTCTCTCTTTGCATTCGCTCTTGAGAAGTGAAACCACAGAATACAGTAGCACGAGCATGCGAAGCCCACCATTGCCATTGTGATGCCGTGGCCCTTGATGAAGCGGGGACGATCGGCAGTTGGATAGATCTGTTTGTGTCAACATTAGCACTTGGGTGTCAAAGAGCGCACGAAGGAAGGGAAGGAGGGGAAGGAGAGGAAACATACAAAAGCACTCATAATCCCCGCACAATTCCCAATACTAAGCTGCAACCCCGTAGCCGTAGTCCTCTTTCCATATCTCGGTAAATTCGTCGGCAACCACGCCAGCGGCAACCCGACACAAACGTACAGTCCCATCGCCACCAAAAAACACCCGGCGTAGTGTACTTTGGAGTTTGAATCGCTAATCAGCATAGCGTATCCCACAATACTGACAAGGCCCAGGAGCACACTGTACAACCCGCGTTTCTGCTGGCGATCGGAAAAGTGCGCTACGAGCAGGTAGGTGATTGCGCCGAGGGCATAACACGGGATAGTCAGAACCTGCACCATGGCACTACTCGCCGTCGTATTAATCGAGCGGATAATCGTAGGCAGGAAAGTCGAATAGCCGTAAAGCATGGTATCAGACCCGAACTGCGCAAAGCAAAAGGTCCAGACTTTCCAGTCTTTAAACGCCTTCTTCACGTCATCCCAGTGGAACTCGGCCGCTTTCTTCGTGTACCCCGTTTGGCGCTTGAGACGGGCGGCAGCAAAAGCTTTTTCCTCTGGGGAGAAGAAATAGGCGGTTTCGGGGGAGTTGGGTAGGACGAACCATGTTGCGATGCCGAGGAGGAGGGTGGGAATGCCCTCGAGGATCATGATCCAGCGCCAGCCGCGCTGGCCGGCGGTACCGTCCATGTGGCCGATTGCGTAGGCGAGGAGGCCGCCGCAGGCACCGGCGAGGGCAGCGGAGACGAAGAGGTAGCCGATGCGGAGGGCGAGTTCGCGTTTGGTGTAGAAGAAGGTTAGGTAGACGGCCATGCCGGGGAATAGTCCGCCTTCTACGGCTCCCAGGAGGAGACGGCATGCGATGAGGCCACCGTAGCTTTGTACGATCCCGGTGAGAGTTGCAATGATCCCCCAGGCGAGGGTGATGAATGCGATCCACCGGGAGGGCGTAAACTTTTTCAGAACCAGGTTTGAAGGGAGTTCCGATAAGATATAGGTGACAAAGAGAATCGAAACTGCGGTTTGGAATTGCGAGTCATTCATGTTGAGATCCTCCTGGAGGCCGTAGAGCCGGGCATTCCCAATATTGACTCTGGTGTTGTAGTTAGTATGTCGATGCTGCCAAATCCACAGGGTTTTTTCAATGGTCCAGTCTCTTCCAAGCAAGGAAATCTCTTCCAACTCACCTGTCCAGGAAACTGAATAAGTACAACAGCATAACCACTGGGATAATGTAGATATCCAGCTTGCGCACAAGCTTGGCCTCGAAAAGAGGATCAATCCCACCCCTCTGGTCAGCAATTTCCTCGCTCTTCTTCGCACCGCCTGGTGTCGCCACATCGTACTGTTTCTCAACGTCGCTCATCGTGTCGTCAGAACCGTGGTGCTGTTTCCTCGGAGAGAACCGAATGACTCGTCGCAAAGTCGTAGTCGCGCTGGATTCTTCTTTTTTTTTTCTCTTTAGTTGATTGATGTGCGTTGTCCTAGACCAACAAAAACAAGAAGAAGAGAAAAAAAAGAAGAAGTTGCTTCTTAGTTCGCAAAATCAGCCGAAAACCAGACCCGTCATCGTGTCGTTACCCTGAATGCATTGCCACGAAGTGGAAGAAAACGGAAGGCCACTCGTGCTTTAAATCCGTTGGATTATTTCGAACATTGGACGACACAGACGACTTCTGCAGGGACCCACTCTAGAGCGAATTGCAGATCCGTGGCGGGGCTGCGACTGGAATGGTCTGAGGCGCTAGCCCCTTGGAGTATGACGTGAACGGCTTCCTTGCTCATGGCATAGATACGCCCGCTGGGCAACTGATAACGAGCCAGCGGGCGGATGGACTTGCTTGCTTACCAACTTCCGAGGTTGCAGATAATACTCGAATGAAAAAATGGGGTTTGGCATGTGTTGGGTTGTATTGTGTCCACCCTGTGTAACTGTACGTAATGACCTCATTTATCGGTTGGTGACTATGGTGCATTAGTTTGGAGTAGTAATGTGTTGCTTAGCCAATCTGATTTGTCTCTAGTTGTACTGCTGCCATCATGCTGTCAAACCAAGAATTGTTACATCGATCTTGTTCGTCCACGGTTGACCTCATAGCTGATCGGTCGTCTTGCGCTGATCACAGCTAGACACTGCTGATCCTGAATCTGGTCGGGTTACACAGCATTAGCTCGCTCTTCGCCAATATGCCCATCTTTCGCCTCATACAGCATGAATATCACAGTTTGAGTAGTATCAACCATCTCGGCTACTTTCCGTCTTTAAACCCAATAACTTGGATAGCCAAAAGGTGCCGGGCCCAAATCGACAGGAAGCGTGAGACCGGCGTAGATGTCAATCTGAGCTGAAGGATCAACAGGAGATACCACCTCATCGCGCGGTACTTCGATTTCCGCAGCCACAGGCTCCGCCCCCGTAGATCCGACATGCTGGGTGCTTGTATTGGAGAAACTTAAGCGCGCAATGTTTCGAACTTCCGTTGCCATTATCTTTCCGAGAGGCCAAGTGGACCCCATGGTTTTCAGAAAGCCAATACTGAGGCTGACACGGTCGCGGGCTATAGTAAGGGCATGGCCGTCAAGCAGATATACGCACGCAGCTACCTGTACGGCAGCCAACTGTGCCGTCATGCACGTGGTGAATAGATTGTGTCTTTCAAGAGCACAAGGAATTGCGAGTAGCCTCGTTGCAATCTCTGTGGCTTTTAACACGCGTGCAGTGTGTGCGTTACGCCCAGCTTTCGGCACGAGCGTAAAGGGCGAGGGCGCTATGAAGCCTCGTGTAGACATTTCACCTGGACAGTAGCCTAGCGACGAGTAAGGCCGATGAATCGTCGACATTATGCTGCGATCATGTCAATGTGTTTTCAAAAAAGCGTAGAATGAATACTTACATGGCGATGATCATATGTGCCATGAACCTGTGGAAAGAACAATATCAGCAAGAATTCTAGGCTCTCAACACAGCTGTTCTCGACATACATGACCTCGTCCACTTCGCCGTTCATAAGAAGTGGATCCTTCTTGCATGATGGTAGCAAAGACGTCCAGATAGCAAATTTAGCATCACAACTTTCAACAAGAGCTTCGTTTATCACAGTGGTATGGATAAACGTGTTCATGACTAGTATGGTCAATACGATGCCCTATGTCAATACTGCATCTTCGGTTCAAACTTACTAAATGCGACAACCATGGCAGCATCATATAAGTAAGTGATTGAAGAATATACTACCTCAATCTCTGCAAGCTCGCGGAGCTGGTACTCGGCCCATGTTGACACGGGAGGGATTTGCTAATTATGTTACCACTTGAACAACTCTAAGCACGTTGGTATAACATACCCCACATTTGTAGTACTCGTCATCACAAGGCAAGTCAACATTGTTTGGCACTGCCAGTAACGCGTGGAATGGGGTGTTGGTGACGATAGCAAAGTGCTGATCCACAATATAGAGCATGTAATAGGTTCTCCGCCATGACTCCTCCAGCACA